GGAAGCCTTGTAGGGCACTGTTTGCCAGGGCACTTGGTTGCACTTCACGCAGCAGCAGGGCTTGTTTTTCAGAAATTGGGGAACTCAGACCCTGGGGCTGGCATGGCCTTCTTCCCTACTCAGTGCCCACAGCCTTGTGTGCTCAGCAGCACCTTGGAGCCCTGCATGCAGGGAGAAGAGGCATGTGCCCGCATGGAAATGGAGTGTGTCACTTCTGCCATTGAGCTTCTACTCAACTTTAAAAATAGAGGGGGGAAAAGAGAAAGAAGGGCATTACAGCCGATTTCTGAGTGCCAAAAAAGGGCAAGGTGCTGGTCCAGCTTTGAGATACCTCTTGAGGCACTCTGGGGACATCTTCCCTTGCTTCCTGCCATGCCCCCTGGCAGTGCCCTGCTTGGTGCCAGACAGCCCTGCCTGATTCCTGCAGACAGGGTGCAGGGAGCGTGCCCTCCTGGCTGCCAGTCCTTCCTCCTGCCAGGCAGGATCAGCTCTGGGTGGGTGCCCAGGCTCACTTCCTCCTGCTGCCCCAGCGATGCTCTGTGTGTTTGGAGCAGCGCTGCCCTGTCTGCTCTGATTTCTTGTGCTGCCACAACTTGTCAGTGTGCTGTTTGGTACATCAACAAATCGACACTACACAAACAGAAGGCTAACAGGGAATGATTTATCCAGGACAACATATCTGTGTGTCCAGCAAAGCAAGATGTCCTGTAAACAAAATTCAGTATTTACTGAGGGCTCATCGGCAGAGCTGGTGTTTTGTACCACAGTTGAATTACACTTGGATCTCGCTCTTTCTGTGTGTTGCTTGTTTAATCATAGGATGCTTTCCTTTTAATTAGGCACTGCTGCTACTGATGAGAGAATTAGCAGACTCTTCTTTTAATGGAGAAGCTGAGGCTGTGGCAGCTGTGCTGTAATGGGGGTGGTGGGCAGAGGCTTCGTGCTGCATAGAAACCCCAGGCTCTGCACCTCAGTTTCTGCTTCCTGAAAAATGTCTTTTTTAGGGTGGTCCTGGAAGGTTTTTTTCCCCCCCACAATATATCATTTAGCCAAAGGAAGGATGTTACTTCCCCCAGCTGCTGTGTTGTGGCCCTCAGAGAGAAAATCTGAGTGATTTTGCCAGCTGTTTTCCTCCCAGCCCAGTGAGGATCCATGGAGCCGGTTGTGTGTCAGTCTCTCAGGTACATCATGTCTAGAGCTGGTCGATAGTGTTGTGATTAGATAGTTATTGTCAGAAAATGGCAGTTTATCACATTTGAAGCTGTTTGTGGGAGAGGAGCAGTTTCAGTGGACTGGCCTCAAAACACCCCCAACTTTATTGGAGTATGTTGTCTGAGGTGTTTGAAATGTCCAGCTGGGGGATTAGCTCCCTAATGGTTCCCATTGGTTTCCCAGTGACAGTTGGGGAACAAAAAGTTCCATGTTCTTCTTCAAGCTGACTTTTATTTATGTTTTTTTAATTTTGGTTGATTTACAGTACAGAGCAAAGGGATAAAGGAATGGGGAGTGAAATAGCGGGAAGAACCTCTAAGATTTTGTGCATTGTGTCTTAGTTTCCCAAGTTTGAAATTTTGAATTCCTGTTTGGGATGGATTGATAATTTCAATTTCCATGGGAGAGAAAATCATATTCCTGCTGTACTATAATGATGTCTCAGGAAAGAGGTCTCAGACATATTTGTGATTTCTCTAGAGTAGAAGCGTCTTATAAAAAATCTTATTATCTTATACATCTATGGCTGGATGAAAATCCCATAGCTGGCATTCTTAGAAGGGTTTGAATCCCCACAGCCTGGCTGAGATTCCCCGGGGCAGGATCATGATCACAGCCCCCCTCACTTGGTACAAATAAATCCCAGTGGTGTCATGGCAGGGGTCCCCCATGGACCAGCTGCAGCTCTGTGTCCCTTGAAAGATGAGCTGCTTCAGGGGACTCATGGGCTGCCCTGAGGACCCCTGAGTGGGACTCAGGGTCTTGAGGGGATGCCCTGCTTCACAGATGGTTGTGAAATCCCCCAAGTAATTTGCATCACCCCATCTCAACTGTTTAGGGATGTGTGGTTTCCCGAGGCAAAATAACTCAGCGGGTTTCAGCCAGGTCACAGTGGGATGTTCTTCCAGTAGATGCTCAAATTAACCCAGCCAGCAGAGCTCCAGGCTGCTCTGGATCTTCTCTTCTCTTTTCCTGGATGGATGACATGGAAGTTTTCCCTTTCTCTTTTAATCCAGTTTGACCAATTAGTTTTTTGGACATTAATTCTCACCTCTGGTTCAGGAGTACCCGCTCTTCATTTTTATTATGTCTGCCCAGTGTCTCAGATATTGAAAACTGTTTCCTGCAAGAGAAGTGGAAAAGAGTGTGTGGAGGAGGAGTAGGAGGGCAGTCAGCTTTTTTGGGGTGAAGTAATGGGAGGCAGGTACATTTTTTGCTGCTATGCCAGCACAGGTTGACCCATAGCCCTCACAAGCCAGTGCCAGGGCTATTTGGGTGTTGGATATCTCCTGAGTTGGATGGTCTGGGAGGGAAATTTCATGGGCCAGAAGGGTCACAGCCCCTCCAGTGTGTGCTGAGGATTCGGGGAGAGTTGCAATGTAAGTGCTGCTCCCCCTGTGCCTTCCCACATCGCCCAGCTATGCCCTGCCAGCACCTCCCATCTGGATTTGCGCATTCCAACATCTCTGTTGCACCAAGGAAGTGCCCATGAAGTCCAAAGTTTCATTAATCCATGCTATTAACATGTCATCCCTTTCCAGGGCTGTTGGATTTTCCATGTCAGCCCCCACGAGGAAGGGATGATGTGACTGTGGGAGATGTTGGGCGAGGGGTTTAACTGGGTTGTGCCTGTGGCTCCAGTTGGATTTCACTGTACCACTGCAGAGGGGGAAGAGAGGGTGGAAATTACCCTTCAGGGTCCAGGTTAGTGGTGCTGATGGATGAGAAGGAAAGCTTCCAGGAACACATCTCCTTTCCAGCTGTATCACTGCAGTATCACTAATAACAGCACAGAGCCTCAGCACTGAGGCACTCATGAATGAGTTGGCATTTTTTTGTGAGTAATGTAGAATTGTAGCTATTTCAAATTGTCCTGAGATGCAGCTTGACATATAAGTTCTTGGCCTATTTATTACCCTGTGTCTGAGTGTTCCCATAGGTATTACGGCATTAAACCATGGCTGAATTTAATATTGGGAGCTGCCGTGTTTGTATTTTAGCTGTAGATCAGTGGCAGATGATTTGGGCTGTGTGCATGATGTGTTTGGCAAACTCTAGCCAAGGGATCTGTTCTTCAGCAAGGATGTTTGAGGTATAAGTTGTGTTCAACACCCTCTTTTTTTTACTTTTTTATTACATTTTCTTTTAAATGTTGCTGTTTCCTGCTTTGCTATCCTGTGTCATCACAAGCTCCTGCCAATATCCGTGCAGGGATATTATCCGTGCAAGTCCTCAGGGATTCACTACTATGTTGAGATAACATCGCACCAATTTGTGTCCCCATCTACCCTCAAGCTGGGTTGGAGGAACTTGAGCTGCAAAGGCTGGACCTGGGTAGTTTAACTCTTGGAAACAAATATTTGAATGCTTCCATGGATTTATCTGTGGTTTTTGCCAGCATGTATTTATGAACCCCTTGGTCACTGTAGGTTTTTCAGGCTCTGAAGCACTGTTGACCAAGTGTTGATCCTGCCCCTGAGGTCTCTACTCTCGTGGTTGCCATCATGTCAGGGTTGGGTCACCTCAAGTCAAACCCTACAGCCTGTGCTGTGGTGTGGCAGCTCCTGGTCTGTCACAGGAAGTTTTTGGCCAGTCATAAATGTCTTTCATGTAAGTGGAAGGTGCTGCCAACTTCATGTGTTGCACGTTGTCTTCTGCTCGTAGTGTAGTGCAGTGTATGCACATCTGGCCATAACCCGCCATGGTTATCGTCCAGGCATCTAAAGCCACATCAGTGGTTATAAGTTAGACCAGCCAGTGCCAAACTAGCCCAGGGGAGCCTAGCAGCCCCTGTGTGTGAGGTGTGAGGTGAGCTGTGCCAGCCCACGGCCGTGCGCCACCTCAGCGCTGCTGATGTGACCCCACCACCACCTGCCAGCAGGATGTCAGCTTCTGGTTTTAATGAAGCCTTTCAGCAGAAACAAGCAGCTGCAGCTGTGGCTTGGGGTTAAATGGGGGGAAGTGATCTTGTATGGTGATTCTGTCCTTGCCACTGACTGATCCCGCACTGACTACACCACTGGGTTTTGTCTTCTGCCATGTTTTCCAATAATGCCTGCCCACCTGTTGGGGAAACTGAAGCACTGGGCATCTGCAGGCATTGTTGGGAACCCTCTGTGAAACATGCTAAAAAAACATTAAAGGTATTAAATTAGGTCTAAGACTACCAGGGGTCTGTTTGATAAGTTTTTGTGGTTTTTTCATTCCTCTATTTTCAGATTGCCTGTCTGGAATGCCAGCATTGGGCCCTTCCTCAGTTGCAGATTTGGGGCCACTTGATAATGAGATTTCTTTTGAGTAATGAGATTTTTTTTTTGAGCCATTCTGGTTATATCACCTCAGATCTCTGCTTTTGAAAAATCTTGGCTCAAATCTTTTGATGAGCTACTAAATAAAAAGACAGACCCTAAAGGGATATTTATGTGAGAAAATGGCCAGACTTTCCCTTCTGCATAAGGAGAATCAGTGTGGGGGATGTCAAAGCATTAAGCCTCAGTACATGCCACTTCTGCCTGAACCTCCTGAGGTGGTACTAAAGCTTGATTAACGTGAAGTCCATGTCCTGATTTACCAGCTGAATTTACAATGGACTTCTAAACCTTAAACACTCTGAAAGTATTTTCCTTCCATCTCCTGGGCTTTGAGTGAGCTATTGCCGTTTTCTTGCCACATCATTAGCATCAGTATTCTTGCACTTGTAGTATTGGGGCTTGTTGTGTTTTCATGTGTGATTTTTGGACGCGGAGCTGGCTGTTTGTTTTTTCAATTTCCTCCTCTTTTTTCCCCAGCCGGAGGAACTTACCAATGCCCTGGAGATCAGCAACATCGTCTTCACAAGCCTCTTTGCCCTGGAGATGCTGTTGAAAGTCCTTGTTTATGGTCCTTTTGGCTACATTAAGAATCCATACAACATCTTTGATGGGATCATTGTGGTGATTAGGTACAAACCTTGAGCTTTCTTTATGTGTGCTTCTCCTCATTTGGGTGTTTAATTAAACAGAAAGTAATGGAGAGTTGGCATAAATACCTTCCTGTGACACTTTATACTTCTCTCTCTAATTAATGCACTTAGGCACGATGGCTAATACATATCTTGGGATTATTTTACGGTCATTTTAGAGAGAGGCTCAAGCAGAAAGCTATCAGTCCCAATGTCCTGGGACAGTCTGGGATCCAAATGGCACAACCAGTGCCCAATTAAGTATCTCTGGTTTTTTGGCACATGCAAAGGCTATAATTGCCCCTGCAGCTGCAGTCACTGATTTCTAGGTGTATTTTTGACATTCAAGTAGGGCTCTGCTCTTTGCAAGCCTGGACAGAGTCCAGATCTCTACGAGCATTGGCATCACATCTCTGCCCACTTTCCGTCTCTCTTCTCTCTGAATTTCACCTTCCCTTCCCTGCCCCTCCGCTGGGCCTTTACAATTAGGCTTTTTCTGTCAGCTTGCATTGACATTTTCTGTCCTCCTCAGCGTGTGGGAGATCGTGGGCCAGCAGGGCGGGGGGCTCTCGGTCCTGCGCACCTTCCGTCTCATGCGGGTGTTGAAGCTCGTCCGCTTCATGCCAGCGCTGCAACGCCAGCTCGTTGTCCTCATGAAGACCATGGACAATGTGGCCACCTTCTGCATGCTGCTGATGCTCTTCATCTTCATCTTTAGGTGAGTGTTTCCAGTTCCCTGTCCTGAGCATGCTCTGGGTTTTTAGATGGGATCCTGTGGTGGGGTGAGGAGGTGACAGAGTCCGTGCCAGAGTATGGTTGAGCTGAACGGTCCCAGGAGCAGCATTGCTGGCTGTGGTTTGCTGCCCTAAATTCTCTCAGTCAGCCAGATGAGATTTCTTTGCAAAATGGTTTACAAAGAAGATCTTTCAGGCTGGATGGTTCCTTGACATCACCACAAGACAGCAATCCCGTTACTTACCAACTGTCAGAAAGCTTGGTGATAAAAATATCGCCAAGAAGAGGATGATGTTCCTAAAGGAATGTCATGGTGGTGCTTGTGTTTTTTCATGGCCTTGTCTTCAGACAAGTAGAAATGTTAGAAACACTGTTGGGGTAGCTCTGTATTTTTAGATTTTGAGAAGAGTTGAGAAGAGTTGTTCTCTTTCTACAGCTAGCTGTGGTGTTTGAGCAATGCAGGCACTGGGAAGGCTGAAGAGAGACAGTCTCTTCCAGGGTATAATGTCCCTTCTTCCAGTGAGACTCCAAAACTGCCATTTGCAGGCGTAGAACTCAGTAGAGCTGTAAATAATTTGATTATTCAGGTTACTATCAGAGAGCAGGGAAAAGCAGATTATTCTTTTAGTATCTATCCATAATGAAAGGTATTCTGTTCTTCTGTCAAAATTGAAAAAGCTGTTTCGAGTCCCCTGATATGTCTTATTCAGGCATTTCACAGAAACCCTTTTTGTCTTCCTAATTCAGTTGAAGCATATTTTGCTGAAAATGTGTCATTGCAAAACAGAAAGTCAAAACATTTTGTTTAGAAAATGTTGAAAGACAATGTTTTGACTTACAAAAAATGAAGCAGAAGAAAAACAAGGAGCAGGCATACTTTTTGGTTGAAACTCCTTGACAGATTTGACCTAAATTCACAACTGATTTGCGTGATCTCAAGGCTTGTTTTTCAGCGAACAAAGGATCCATCTTTTTTAAAAAAGCATAAAAAGGAATAGCTCAGGTGAAATCAGGAGAGAGTCGCCCTGCTGTATGATTACTGACTTGTGTGGTGGTCTTATTGTCGAGCCTCTGCCTCCTGTCATTTGCAGCATCCTGGGCATGCACCTCTTTGGCTGCAAGTTCGCTTCGGAGCGGGATGGCGACACTCTGCCTGACAGGAAGAACTTTGACTCCTTGCTCTGGGCCATCGTCACTGTTTTCCAGGTACAAAATGGAAAATACAACTGATGGGCGTTTTGAGACTGCAAAGACTGGGGTTGTTTTCCAATGCATCCGAGGTTGTTTAGTGAAGCTCCATGCCATGGAAAGAAGATGACCCAAAACCACAAGTGCAGGTTTATGGGGGCTTTTGGGCTGTTTTCCAGCCTAAATCAGGACCCTGGTGAGGAGGGGCTGCCAAGTCAGGAGGCTCTTGTGTTTGCAGGGTATGGACTGGGTGGGTGAAAGTAAATATAGAGGGAAGAGATGGAAAGGAGGAGATCAGGACCATTTGTAGTGGTATTTTGACAAATAATGGAATCTTATTTAAAGCTGATATGTGCAGGTTTTTGTTCTAGCAGCTCTGGGCCCTTTAACCCTGGGATCTGTGGAGGACTTTCAGTCATTCTGGCTGACCAAAGGAAAGGTCTGACCAGTGCAGTGTTAAGCTCCCTTATGGCTGTCCCTGGATATGGGGGACAGGGCAACTTGCACAAAGTCCTTGCTGGTAGTTGGGAATCTCTGGTTCTCTCTCTTCTCTGGCTCAGAAGGGATTTGTCCTCTTGTGGTTACAGCTACAGTGGAAACCCTAAAAGCAGGATGCTTGTCTGGCCTATCCAGAGTGTGGATACCCAGCCTGCTATCCTCCAGTATCTCCACAGTCCTGATACTCTTCCTCTGCAGATTTTGACGCAGGAAGACTGGAACAAGGTCCTTTACAATGGCATGGCCTCCACCTCATCCTGGGCTGCTCTCTACTTCATCGCTCTCATGACATTTGGGAATTATGTTCTCTTTAATCTGCTGGTGGCCATCCTGGTAGAGGGTTTCCAGACAGAGGTAATGTCCTCGTGCTTGTGCCTTTGCTTTCTTTTCAAGTTTTAGGACCTCCAGATCCTGGAATCTGATTTCTGAGGTGGACAGCAATACCTTGACAGAAGTGGTATGGGAAAAAAGTGGGGTAAAATATTAGGTCTTCTTATTTTTTTACTTTTTTTGTTTCCGTAGCCATTGCACAATTAAATACAGCAAACCCTCTAAATGAAGGGCTTAAATGAAAAGCATTGTTAGCATTAATGCAGGAGTGGGAATTGAGGTGTGAGTCAGGCACTGCGGATGGGATCACTGCTATGACAGTCTCTTTGAAACAGTTTTCGCCGTGTTTGTCATCCAGATTAAAGGCCCCTCCTGAAAACTTACACAGGCTGGTAAGAGATTAGTGACACGATTATCTTTTTTCATGGTATGCATTCATGGAGCTCTTCCAATTTCCAGCCCTGCAATGCTCTGCGTATTTTAAGGTACATGATTTCTGGTCTCTGCCATCTGCTTCGTCACAATGGGAGCTTCCACGAGACATCCTGCATTGCTGGAGGCTTTGAGGGGGCATGTAGGCTTGAGCTCAACCTTTTTTTCCATCCTACTGCCAATCCAACTCTCCAGCTTGCTGTGGGTGTGCAGGGGTACACCTAGTACCCCTCAGAGTGGGGGACATGTGATGCTCACCTGCTCCTTGCAGAAATTTTCCAACTGTTCAAGAACACCCATAAGGGGAGGGAACCCCTATACCCTGTCTGGGGCATTGGTTGGAGGGCTAAATACAGCCTAAAACTCCTCACTGGGGTCTGCTTATATGGGCTGTGCTTCTAAACACTATCTCTGATTTTTTTAAGCATTCTGGGATGAATAAATATTTTAGTTTTGTTGCATGTGTATTATGATATCCTGCAACCCTACGAACAGAACAGTTTTTATTATCATTATTATTTTTGAAGTTTGGAGTTAAATTAGTGGAGTCATACCAGGACATAGCAAGAATAATTTTTTTTCTTTTGTATCGTCTCTTTCTCTCCATGATGGTACTTTTCTTTTTTAATTGTTATTGTTGTAGCTGTTTCTGTCTGTAAATGTCCCCCACCATTCAGCCAAAGGGACAATCACTGCTGGGTTCTCTCAAAGAGCAAAATGTTCCTTTGCTCAGTCTCTCAAACACCAAAAATGTTCCCTTGCCCAGGTGAGAAGAGGTACAAAGCTCCTTGTCTGTTCCTGGTGACAGCTTCGAAACCCAAACTTTGTTCAGTCTGGCAAATTGATCTTTGAAGGTCACCAGCACAGGAGATCACCTGGATCTCTGCACCCACTATGCAGAGAAACGATACAGCCTTTAAATGCAGCAGCCCATTTGCCAGCCCCTGGCCCTTAAGGGAGGCTGACTCCTCTGCTCCTTGGCTTGTCTGGTTTGCCATGCAGGAGATGCTCCTGCTCCACCACTGCATCCCGCTTCTTCCTGGGCAGCAAATTATCCCTTGCCTGGTGGCCAGCTGTGCCATGGTGCAACTCCCTGAAAAGATGTGTTCTGGCTTATGCGTTGTGGTTTTATTCCAGTAACGATGTCCTTGAGGGTATGGCTCCCCTGGAGTCAGGGAAGTGCCTGCAGCACTCCTCAAATTTGCTCTTGGCTGTTTTCTGCAGCCGGGCTGCCCCATCAGCTGCCCCCATGTCTCCACTGCCAGAGCAGCACTGGGCTTGTCCAAGCCAGCTCCAGGGTATCTGTGTAAGCTGAAATGTGCTTTAAGTGCTGTGTAAATGAGGGAGGAACCTTGGATTTGGGACAGCAACGGGTCAGCATGAAGCCAGTGATGCCCATGCCAGCACTGAGGTGAGCACAGGGACCAGGAGCTAGTGCAGCCCCCAAATACCAAACCCGGGTTGTCAGTTCTGCTCTGCCCTGATAATTTTAACAAACTCACACCATATATCTATAATCTGTGACTCTGATTACATTGCTATTTTATATCTCAGGCTTTAATGATAGCTTTTTAATAATAATCTTCCTTCCACATCCTTGTTATTCTGAGTTCTCTACATTCATCCAGTGAGGTGCAATGGCTCCAAGAGAGCCCTTGGCTCAACCCAGGTTTCCTGCAGCAGACTGGGAGTGAATATCTCTGGAGGTCAGGCCCCAGGTCTGGCCTTGCTGGTTTATGTTTATTCAGCTTTGATGGTGTGTAGCTTTGTGAACAGATCACATTCTGGTTTTTGCAAGCCAGCACAGAGGATCCTCTCCTAAGCAGAATTAATAGAGAGATCATCTCTCGCTGTAAACAAACCCCAGTGTCTGCTGCCCGTGTCTGCACTTGACTCTTCTGAGTTGAGTTTGTTGGGGTTTTTTTTCCATTCTCCTTCAGATTTCTGGGCTGAAACACAATCCTGGGGCTGCTGCCTTTATCTCCCTGGTCCTTGAGTACCTTTCCTCAATCCACAAACACGTCGTTAATTTTAGTGCATGGCTTTGCAGCCCCAGTTGCCAGGCAGCAGATGACTATAAGCAGCTGAAAAACTAAAAGGGCCTCTTCCAAACTTTAAATACAGGGTAATATATTTTGCAGGATTGAGGTGGAGGGGGTTTTTCCCCCATTTTTTCCTTTAATTTGGAATTAATTCCTTTAATTTGGAATGTTTCATTTAACCAGCTGCTCTCATGACTGTGCAAAAGGCACAGGCAGGGCTTTTTGCTGTGTGGTTATTTTTGACTGCACATTCCCTGATTGGATTGGACCCTGGTGTTGATGCGGGGAAGGTGAGCAGGGGACTCCGTTTGACTGAGCTGCTAACTGGAAATTACTGCATGACCACTCTGGTGCCTGCCTTGGAGACCTCTCTGAAGCAAGGAATGACTCCTCTTAGTCAGGCATAAAGCTCCTCTCCTGAGGGAATTCCTAATAGTGTTATCTCCAAGGTGTATTCTTCCATTGGTAATCCTCCCAGTTTGTGTCCTGTTGTGCCCATCCGTCCTCGCTCGTGGGTTTGATCCTTTCTGTCCTTTGTGCCCTGCTCCCTCCCTGGCACCCCAGGTCCTGCAGCCTCTCCATCCTTTTCTCTGCAGGACACTACTTGCTCTCTAGAGGTAGCATCCTTGGGGAAATACAAATGTTCAACTTCTTCTGAGCTTTCACCAAAGGGAACAGTCCCTCCTCCTGCAGGGGGGATTTTGGATGGTGTTTTTCCTGCTCCCCTTGCCTATTGCATTCCTATCGGCTTCAGTGGGATTTTCCTTGTGAAAGGAAAATTTCCATCTTTTCCCTTTCAATGGCTTTTCCATGTCTCTCTCTGTTACAAGCAAAGACTTTAAGTTAAGTGTCCATCACATTGCAGGCAAGTCCTTAAACTCTTCATCCCAGCCTAGGCTGGGATGAGTTTTGTAACAATTTAGCAATCAGAAAAAAGATCCATTGCCGTGTAGGCAAGAAATTCAGCTGGTGGGATAAATTGTGCCCTACTGCTTCAGCATGGAACCTCTTGTTGCCCCATGGGACAGGACCAGGCACTGCCACACTGCCGAAAAAAGCTCAGGAATACTGGGAGAGCCACCCCTAAGCAAGGGGAAGCACAACAAGGTGAAAAATTATGTCTGTTTTCCAAATGGGCAGGGAAAGTCTGGCTTCTGGTGCTGTGAAATGTTGGGGTTGTGGGTGTTGCAAAATTTCCCAGGATGGGGCTGTGCCCCCTGGCTGCAGACCCCTGATTTAAACTGCTGATTCAAATGGGTGTTTCCACTAACAGGACTGAGCACGGATCTGAACTCACAGCAGACTGTGTCTCTCCTGAAACTAGGTATTTCACCTGCAAGAGCACTGATATTATGTTAATCAAACATTCATTAAAAACCTCCATTGCTGCTTAATGAAGGCATAATAAATAAAGATGCTATTATACAGCTGCAAAAAAAATCATGTTTTCAATAATTAGCTGGTGTTTCATTAGCACAATTATCACTTAGGAGCTGAAGCAAGCTCTGTTCTAAACACTTAATTTAAAGGGTGTAAGGCTGGTCCCTTCAAAGGGCTTCTTTCTACCTGAGATCCCGCTCTCTCCCTGTGCTGAGTGGAATGGATCCAGTGCCTGGCTCTCCGTTGTAGCCACACACTGCCCACCTCCCCCTTGCCTTCTGCTTCCCTGCCTCTTCTCCTGTGTTTTTTGATTCCCCACTCAGTCCTGCTGTTGAAACTGAAAATTGAACCCCGCCTTCCCCTTCCTCCCTCTTCCTTCCCCCCATTTCTCCTTCAGGAGATGTCCAAGCGAGAAGAAGCGAGTGGGCAGTTAAGCTGTATTCAGCTGCCTGTCGACTCGTCGGGGGTACGTACAGCACATCCCACCGCCACCGTGCTTGTCTCTCTCGTGGTCACACACTGTGCTGCTGTTCTCATAGTAGCTGTCATTCTTTTGGGGTCTATTTGAGTGTTTTGGAAGTGGTTTTTTTTGGTTTTTTTGTTCCTTTTTGTCACCCTCATTGTTGAGTCAGCCCTGATTTTAAGTCCCTTCCTTCTCTGAGGGACCCAGGTAAATTAAGGTGGGTGCTTTGAAGGGGCTGATGTGGCTCCAGCCAGCAGGTCCCGCTGACCCCTTTCTGGATGCCTGCCCTGGGGAAGGCTCCCCAAGAGATGTTACAGCCTCTCCACGGCACAGTCACATCCCAGGGACCTCCCTGAGGATGAGGATGGTCATGCTGATTGCAGGGCATGCGTGCCGAGGCGCCCTCATGCAGATGGGGGAGGGTGCCTAGGAGTGAAGGGACCTGGAATCAAACCTGTTTTGATAGGTGTGTGTGTGTTGATGTGTGTGTGGGAGTCCTGTGCTCTGCAGGACAGGGTAAGACAGCAGCAGCTGCACTGTGGGAATGCTAAGACTGCCAGCGCAGTGCTCGTTACAGGATGTGAAATGGTCCTGTTCGCGTCCGAGGAAGCTGTGGATCTCTGAAGCACAGCACACCACAAACCTCACCCTTCTGCCAAACTCATCTCTCTTTTTACCACTCACTTCCCTTTCTTTTGTCTTTTCCAAGAAGCCTGGCTTTTTCCTCAGCCCAAAAGCCCTTTCCCCTTGTATCCCAGTGTGTCAGTCCCTTTCGGTACAGGCTGGTTTAGTTGTCGTACTGCCTGGCCCAGCTTGACATTATCTCATTTCCCAAAAGGATTTTAACTCCCTCTTCTCTCATAACCCCTTTTCTATCCAGAAAGGCAAACTGGGAGTGCAAGAACAGGTAACGGGCAGCAGCACCAGCTGCGAGATGTTTGCCTGCACCGTCCCGAGTCTGGCACGTGGTGTTTGGGAGGGGATGCTCACTGCCCTCACACGTGGGGTTTGGTGCTGGGGAAGGGGGTGGGAAATCGCCACATAGCTCTGCTTTTCCGTCTTGGCACACGTCTCATTGTGCCCCCTTAAAACTTTCCTTAGGGCTGCTGAAGAGCACTCCAGGAATACAAATAATGTGAAATTCTTCCCAGTATTTATTTATTTTTAATAACCCGTCAGGGAGAATGAGTAATTCCTGGCAGGCCTGCTGACAGGCTGAGCCGGGAGCCTCTGTGGGGAGCATACCTGGAGCCAGCTGGAGCCCCTGCTCACACAGACTGGATCTTGCTCCAGCAAAGCTCAAGCCAGGCTGACTTTACTGCTCCCCCTTGCAAGGTGCATTCCTGACCTTCTCAGACTGCATCCTGCAGGAGGAGCTTCCCTGAAAAGCACAGAAGTCCTGAATCCTCAGGGTATTTTTGAGCCAACACTTCATGTCACACTCTCTTTTGCCTTAAAAATATCTTTGAGTGTCCGACCTGCCTGGAAAAAATATCTTTAATAGTTTAGTGACCCCACACTAAATATGGGAGGAGTATTGGGGCTCATCCCTCTGGGGTTTTACTTAATAATGAGGTATGGGGCACTGACATGTGTTGGATTCATCTCTTCCTTCTGTCCCAGGCTGGGGTCCTTCTGAGATTTTGCAATCAATGGGTACCCTAGCACCAAACCTCAGCAGTGCTGGCCAGGGCTCCTGTGGACGCAGCTTAGCCTTGGTGGGGTTTTCTGGGGCTCCTGGGCTCTCACTGCTGAAGTGAGGATCTGCTTGGCTTTTCCCATCCCAGCATCTTCCCCCACCTTCCCACCTCTTCTCCATTGTGTCAGGGCTTGGTGCCCTTTGCCAGAGCAGTGGTTTCAGCCATGAATCCTCCTCTTTTTGGATGGGTATCAGTCCTTCTGGCGAGCACCTCTGCCCCTCTTAGGTGTATCCTAACTATACCACACCCTAAGTGCCTTTCTGCCGTGCCAATGGACAGAATCAGGGTCTGTGCCACAGGACGGAGCAAGAACCCAGGCACCACACAGAGAACAATGATCAACATCATCTTCCTCTACCTGAGGATGGGTACCTGTCAGAGGAGACAGGCCTCGCTCAACCACCAATGTTTGAAATGATACAGCAGAATTTAAACTTCCTAAATGATCCAGCATAAATCCCCAAAACTCCTGCTCCTCTTGTGTGTGGCAGCTGGGAGGGAAAGGGTCCCTCATGGCAGTCAATGTTGGGTTCTGCCACCTGGATCCTCTCTATGCTGATGGGGCGTCCATGGACACGTCACGTTTTCCATGGTGGGAGTTTGGGGTCTGTTGTGCCCTTTGTGAACCCTGGATTGCTCCACCAAAGCATCACTGGAAAGAGCCACACCCAGAGACTTTTAGGTGTATAAATTCAGAGAGATTAGTAGGATCATCTTTTGTCCACAAATTGTTCATCAATATTGGTCCTTCCCTGACATCTGCCACATATGCAATTCCAGCAGCAAAAATTAAGCAATAGTTTGTTTTTTCTCCTGATCCCTTTCTGGGACCATGTTCAGAGCCAGAGGCAATCCATCTTCCTGATAGGAGGTTAATTAGTCTGTGGTATAAACCTGTGCATGCATCATTTTGTGGAAGGTGATGTTGCATCGTGGTACCAAGTTCAGTGGATCTGTAAGGTGTGGTGTTGGACACGGGAATCCATATTTGCAGAGGGCTGTCCATGCACTGTGGCCGCTCAGCCTCCTTGCTGAAGCCTTTTGTTTCGCTCCAGGGTGATGCTTCCAAGTCTGATTCCGAGGGGGATCTCTTCCCCCACAGCCTGGAAGAGGAGGGAGAACCTAAGAAAAACTTGTCAAATCCAGCCTGTGAGTAATAACCCTGGAAGGACAGGGCCTTCCACAGAAACCTTGCTTTGCAGTGAAAACAGTGTGTCCAAAAGGAAAAACCCCTCTTGGAGGGATTGCTGTAGTCCCAGTTGTGTCATGCTTGACTTTGCAGCAGGCTTGGGGTGGCGTTGTGGGATGCAGGCAGGGAGAGACATGACTGCATTTGAACTGTTAATTTCCCCATTAAGCCCGAGGACTGGGCTTGAGGGGTGTCTCTGCTGGAGGACTTTGGAGAAGGAGGATGGAGGAGGTGGGCAGGAAGTTCCCAGGGCTGGGAGTTGGTGGGTGTTAATTGGAGGCTGAGGGGGCAGCAGGTGACATTTTGGGTGTGCTGTCCTCTACCATTGTTACCTGATCCCATTGACACCTGATCCCATTCCTGTTTGACATCCCCCTGCTGGGCTGAAGACCCAGTTCTCCGCAAGGGCTTTTTGGCCCACATCTCCCTGATGCTCAGAGCAGAGCCTTCCCTGCGCAGCAGCTTTGCCTGCCCACGAGCAGGCTGTCGGTGTTCCCCCTTGAGGTGAGACGCCTAAAAACCCGCTCCTGTCTTCCAGTGATGGCCCTGAGCGAGCACCCGGAGCTGAAGAAGAGCCTGACCCCGCCGCTCATCATCCACACGGCCGCCACGCCGATGCCCATGCCCAAGAGCGCCGTGTTCGGGGACGCGGCTCAGGGCTTCGAGTCCCGCCGGGCCAGCGGCGTCTCCACGGACCCCGGTGCCGCCCACGAGCTCAAGTCCCCGGTACTCGCATCCCCTTCCCCTGCGGGTGTTCGTGGGGCTGTCGGTCCGTCCCGCCGGCCTGGGGCGGGTGGCTCGGCTCTGATGCGCTCCCTGTCGCTGTCCTTCCCGCAGCCCAGCGCCCGCAGCTCCCCGCACAGCCCCTAGCGGGCCAGCAGCGCCTGGAACAGCCGCCGCTCCAGCTGGAACAGCCTCGGCCGCGCCCCCAGCCTCAAGCGCCGGGCGCAGAGCGGCGAGCGCCGCTCCCTCCTGTCCGGGGAGGGCAAGGAGAGCTCCGAGGAAGGCGACAGCTCGGATGAGGAGCGCTCCAGCCGGGCCGGCAGCTTCAATGGCTCTTTGCCGCACCGCATGGAGTCGCTGGAAACGAAAGGGTCCTTTGACCTCCAGGATACTCTGCAGGTGCCTTCCCTGTATCGGACCGGCAGCATGCACAGCACCAGAACGTCTGTCTCTGAGCACCAGGACTGCAATGGGAGGACATCTCCGGGGCTGCTGCTGCACCAGCTCCACCTGGATGAGCCCCACCAGGACGGTGATGACGGCGATGATGAAGGTAGCATGGTAAGGAAGTGCCACGTGCTCGTTTTGGGCTTTATGACTTGTCAAAACAAAGCTCGTCACTGCCTCAGGGGTGCACATGTGAGTGCAAGAGATATTAGGTCTCATCATCACCACGAGACCAGACAAGAGTCACCCAGAAGGTCTCTAGGCAGTGGATGCTCTCAGAAATGCCATTGGTATCTAAGTATTACATGCAGTATCAGATGGCTTATGATGGAGACATAAGGGCAAAACTGTCCAGATTCCACTAAACCATGCAGAGTGAAGGCTATTTGAAATATATGCTTTTATGGGTTAGGGGTTTTTTTTTGTTTGTTTGTTTGTTTTTTAAAGCAAAACAGGTAAGTCTCCCTGCTTTCCAACTGTTATTCTGCCCCCACACCAGCAGCAGAAAACTTCTATAGGCAAAGAAAGAGCATGGCTTGGTCTCCCATTCCCATGGCAGAATTAGTGCCAATGGTGGTAATTTCAGAGGCTCTGCAATAATTTCCATCTGAAGAGGCATTTCACTAATGAGTGTCTCTTTCACAGGCCTGAAAATTGTCATTTAGGAAATATAAGCTGAAAAGACTGCAAATGCAGGGAAGGGATCAGGGTTCCTGGTCCTTTTTTCAGATGGATGTTTGTATCTTAAATGGAAAAAAGGGGAATCTGGCTGCTTTTCCAAAGTTGTTTGCCTGACTGGCAGGATGGGGCTTGAGTTTGGCACAAGGGTGTCACAGTTCTGGTTATCATATGTGCATTGGGGCCAGTTTTGGAGTGTTTCCTGCTTGTCCCAGGTTATCTCTTTGTTTGATTATACCTTGTTCTCAGATTTTAAAAGTGTGATGGTCTGATGTGTCGTCCCCAGGGGTATCTGTTTCTTTTGGGGGAGTAGATGGGGTTTGGGTAGAGACATGATGGGAGCAGGGGCTGTTCTGAGAACAGGAAAGCTGCAGATTTGGACATGATTTTACTCTTTTTCTCTGATTTTATTGAATGAAATTGGAATTGGGATCATGTGAAGGGATGTGAAAGGTGGCATTGACTCCAGAGTCTTCTGCTCCTTACAGGAGGAGGAGAGTTAGTGCTGGCAGAATGGAGTCACTCAGCTGTGAACAGCCTTTGCAAAAAGCCATTATCCCATTACATCTCCAGCATGGATCCTCAGCTTGGATTTTTACTCATTGTGCTGACCTGATTTTTAACTTCCATAAAATAAATTGAATTTTTAAGAAAAGGAGCAGTAATTATTTTTGGAAAATTCCCCACTATTAGAAGTGTGAAACAGACCATGCTCCTTATTGCTTGCTAGGAATTTTTTTTCTCATGCTCCAACATCTGCTTACCTGGTGCAATCATCCCACCAGTCCCTTCAGGATCAAAAGCCAGCAGTCCCCCTTGGGCATGGTGTGATGAGATGTGTCCCTCCTCTCCCAGCCAGTGCTTACAATGAACCATTGAATGAGATTTTTAATTTTTATCATCTGTTTTTAGCATAAACCAAACATCATCCACTGTGTACTGAGGTCAGGCCATGGAGGGTATAATCACCTTAACATCCTCCCATGTAATGGTCAGAAGCAAATTCCTAGAGGGAGAATTCACAGAATAAGGGAAATAAATTGTGTCCTAGCCCATGGGATAGCCACAACTGGGATACCTGCAGCTAGCTGGTGCCTTTCCCATGCTCTGAAATATGTCTTCCCTGCAAATCAGTAAACCAGATGGATGAGAAGATATTGCTTAGATTAGAAAAATGAGTTCCCAGGTTGCAGGGCTTCCCTCCTGACATTTGGGGAGAAACTCTGCTCCTAAATTAGCCTTAAAAAACTTGGGGGATGGGGGAATTGCATTTTAAATTGAAAAAATGAAATACAAAACTACCCATGAACAAAAGAGGAGAAGAACTTGACTATTACTCAGATCAAAGTAATCCTAAATATGCCCTTCTACATCAAAGCTTTGCAGCCCTCCTTGCTGCCTGGATTTGATTGTCTCTGTGCAGAAATTAAAGGAAGAGCAAAGGCTTCATCTGGATTTCCCAGGCTACACTTATATTAGTGAAGCTCTGCTGCCTTCGATGAATTTCTTTATTTCTTCGATGATTTTCTTTATTCTGAATTTCCGTCCCTCTGAGGGGACAAAATCAGGCCCCTGGCAGCTTCTCTCCCCAGAACCAGGAAACCAAGGGGCTGTTCTTTATGGCATCACTGCAGACAAGAAGTCTCTCACAGAGAGAGTGATCCACAGCTTTCTTGGGTTCACATGGCTGTGACCAGGATCAGGGCTCTGCTGCCAAGTCTTTGTTGTTTCCAACTGCTGGAATTTAAATGATTTTGGGTGCTTTCTACCAAAATTGCTGAGTGCTCACAGCTGAAAGTAAGGAAAATATTGAATATGCAACCAATGTGTTCCCTCCTCTCCAAAACCTCACTGCATTTTACTATTACTGTTCCTTTTCCTTTGCCTATTCCACTTTTTTCTTTGTGGCATATGATCCAGCCACTCCCAAGCCCTCTCAGCCTGTCCCTGTTGCATATTAAAATTAAATAATCAGGTCTCAAGCGTCTCTGTGCAGCTTCCAGCTTGCCTGGAGGTCCTCTGCTACTCACAGAGCATTTTTTCAGCAGTTCCCCCATCCTTATAATAAATCTTTTATAAATCTAAGCCTCACCCTTACTCTGAGGAGTGCATCAGTCATCTTTTATTGCCAACTGCTTTCATCCTTCCCTCAGAAGTGCATTAATATCTGAAATTCCTAAAAATAATCAAAATGTTAAAAGCAGCTATTTATCAACAGTTCTCGTTGCTGTGGGATGGAAGGCCTTCATCCCCACTGCTGCCTGTTAGCACCCAGCACCTTCCAGCATCCTGGCTTCTGCTGCCTCTGGGGAGGGATTTGGGTGGGCTCACGCAGGGAGATTTTGTCCCAGTCACTGGCAACTGAATTAAAGATTAGTTTTCTTCTCCCCCCACATCTTTGTTCATCCTGTCCAGGTGTGGTTTATGAACAAATAGATGTGATTTAAGCCACATAATTGATATCTTACTTTGACCATAGTGCAGGCTTTAACAGCAGTCAGCCCCATTGTCAGCACTTGGAGCCTGCCTTGGCCTCGCTGGGAAAGCCTTGGACGGGGCTCGGGCTGGAAAATCTCTGGGTTTGTTTCACAAATACCTTACTTCTGGCACAAGTTAACTGACCTGTGCTGTTCCACTGGTGGAAATATGGAGTAATTCCTCTGAGTTTAGGTTTCTGGGGATGTACTTCACCCTGCTGCAGCCCCAGTTGAGTCCTGGTGCTCACCCTTACTGTAACCCTCTGAATAGAGAGACATGGTGGGAGATCACTTTTTGCCTTTGTTATCTGATTTAGCCCATTAACTGCAAGCTGCAACAATTAGCCAACCCCCAAAATATCTTTGGCATTAAAATTGGACAAAAAGAATATAAAGAATCATTCTGTGCTGCTGACGCATTACCATTCACTACAAATCCCCTTGATAAATACCAGAACTGCTTTGAATAATAGATACTTCTGGAAACCTTCCAGCTCACAAAATGAACTGGACTGAGTTGTAGCTATTACTCCATGTCCAGAGGCTAGGGTAGCAATCACTGCTCTCACCACAGCTTTGAGCAGACACCTGATTTTTATCCATTTATTTACCTTTGTTAAATCTATGGATAATTAGACTAACCAGACAGCTTAAAGGGATAACACAACCCCAAGGATGCATGCTCTATTAAATACAGTTTAGAGACAAGGGAGCGGTTCTGGCTCTTTGCCTGAAGGTGGAAAAGGGATGTGAGAACATCCAAGACAACCAAAACCCCACTGGTGTGCAGTGCATGGTCTGTGTGTGCAGAAGCTTAGGGAAGAATGGATGGCTGAAGGAGCAGGGTAGAAAGCTCTAACTTTTTGTTATTAAAACTTTTCTTCTTATTTGCCAAGGTGATTTTAATTTTCTGAAGAGTTCGGTTGTCACTAAGGGCTTTCATTAAAACAGGTACTACACCAATTATTCTCCATCACTAGTGAGACCCCAGTCTGGGTGTCTGTAGGAAGAGAAAGCGCTTCCTCCACTCCGCTCAATTACTCTAACAAATCCCATTTTTACAGTCAAGAGTACTTCAAGTGCCAACAGTTTGCCTCAAAATGAATCCGCCCTCCCTGTTTCCTAGATGAAATAAGTAAAAGTCCCTTAGTCCTGGGGTGTGGGTGCTCCTGGGGTGAGGGTGATTCCTGTGCTGTCCTTCACACCCCTCTGTGGCCTCACGGCCCTGAAATCTCTAGAAGAAGCTTCAAAGAGCTCTTGCAGTTATGTTTCTAGGTCTGCCCATCCAAGCCCAGGTGGCAGCAGAGAAATAAGGCTTCTGAAAGAGCAAGAATTGTTTTTTATTTATCTGCAAAGAACTCTGGTGACAGTGCACACACTGGTCTGTGCATTTATCTTCTGGTGCTTTGATGTGGAAGCGCTGGGGAAGCCCTGGTGTGGTGAGCAAGATGTTGGCCTGGCTTTTAGTGGTTGTCCGTGCACAGCGTGCTAACACTGCTTTGCCAGTGGGATTAAAGGTGTTGATTTTCCTTTGGAGGTCTGTGGATGAGAAGGTGATAAAGTTAAATCAGTTGTTGCAGCCAGGATGAGGCTTCCCCTTGACATCCAATTTTTGATGTCTTTGGTTGACTTGTTGGCTCAGGCTTTTGTAGTCTACCCTCCTGACCTGAAATGACCTTCCAGACAGCCTGTAACATAAGGATGCATGGCTGAGGATGTGCTGTGGTTTCAAGCAGAAATTAATTTGCATGAATTGGATGGTCCATGTTCATGCAGGTCAGGTTGTCCATGGTGTTTCCTTCTGGCTTTATAATCTCCCATCTAATCTGTTCATGCTGAATGAGAGGCAGATGATCACCGTTGTGTTCCTGGACCAAAACTTGGGCCTCAAGTGCTTTCTTCAGCTTTACAGTGGTGCAGGGACACAGGGCTTTGCCCAGCAAGCAGCAGGAATCTCTCCCTCTGCTCTATAACATCTGACATAAGCATTCTAAACATTCTGTATTATTTTTTTAAAAACCAAATTAAAATACCCCACAAAAATTCCCCAAAATACCTTAGAAGATTCAGGCAAGCACCTGATGAGTGTTTGGAGGCACTGAGTGGGTTATCATTCCTTTGGGAAAGGGTTCTATTTATCATGTTTGTTCTCTTGGATAACTTTCAGACATGGTTACAGTGCAGAGAAAGAAGCAAGACCAAGCACTGTAAGCTCACAGGGCTGGCACAGCCCTCATCTGGCTGCCAGAGCTCTTTACCCTGCTCAGCAGGGTCTTGTCTGGGGGCATTATTTTATTTCAGCTTTACTGAGCACTTGAAGATAAGTTTTTAGTGAAAAGCTGCCCCGAGTCCTACACGTGGAAGTTTTGGGGCATTGTTGTTTTAACAGTTCTGCATTTTCCCACTCCGTACATTTTCCCTGCAGAGCAAAAGGGACCGCATGAAGGCCTGGCTGCGGGCACGGCTCCCCACCTGCTGCAAGGAGAGGGACTCCTGGTCCATCTACATCTTTGCCCCTCACTCCAGGTAAGGCAGGGCACTCGGGCAGTGCTGGGGTGGTAGGATGGATGGTAACAATGCATGCCCTCATTCCAGTGCCTCATCTGCCTGTTTATCCCAGATGGGTCTCTGTATGTCAGTCCACAAAACTCCTGGCCCTTGCTCTGTCCCAGCGTGACATCAGGGTTGAGCAGCAAACAGTTGCTGGCTGCAGAGGGCACAGGAGTGTCCAGTCAAGACCCATAGCCCAGGGCATGCCTGCAGCTTCATCAGGTTCCTCATTTCCTTTGGCAATGATGCCAATGCTCTGCAAGTTTTTCACTTGGTGGTGTGTGATGAGCTTGGAGCAAGGCGGAGAGGTGCAGCATTAAGCATAAAAATCTGAATTTGCCCCACCACACACTTACAGCACAGCAAAGAACTCCCTGATCTTCTCAGCCTTCCTCTCAGCTGAACTTCTCTGTCCTCCCCCTTCCCTTTCTCTCAGAGAACACCCTCTCCTTGCTTGAAGGCCCCCAGATCTGCCCTTGCTAAGGCCTGGCCATGGGGAGCTGGCTGAGCTCTGTGCTGTTGAAGCATTCCTCCAGACATGCACCCATGCACCCAAGGGCTCCCCGTGCTGGAGCTGAGGGCCCTGGACAGCGTTCAGGTTCATTCATACAAAGATTAGAGAGATTTTCAGAAACAGACTTTGGGAAATGTAATACGGTATTATAAATCCTGGGTCAGTGTACAGCCATCTGTCACAATAAATAGCTTCTGCCCCTTGGTTTCGTGTGTGCTCAACCCTTATGGGCTCATTGGGAGTATTTTTGCCTTTATTTAAGCTAAATCTGAGCACCTGAGGAAGCAGGTAGAGGGGCAGATCCAAACCTGGCTGTGTGTCTGAGTCATGGAAGCAGCTGCCCTGTTCCAAGTAACCAAAGCCTTCTGTGAGCATTCCCAGGGCTTGAAATTTGTGGCTCAGTTCTGTAGATCAGATCCCTCTCTGTTCATAACCCAATCTGCCCTCAGTGTGTGGCTCTGCCAGAGAGGGGATTGGGAGATTGGAGCTCATCTGCTTTGCAAGCAGAGTGCTCAATTCCCCTGCTATGCGTTGAGCTGCTGTGTGTCTCCTCAGCCAGTTGAGCATTAATAGCTAGTCTGTGTCTACTCTTTTTTTTTTCCTCTCTCAACAGATTCCGTCTGATGTGCAATAAAATCATCACTCACAAGATGTTCGATCACGTCGTCTTGGTGATCATTTTCCTGAACTGCATTACCATTGCCATGGAACGACCCAAAATTGAGCCTCACAGCGCTGTGAGTTTCTAAGGTTTTCCTCGTGGAGCAAACACGTGTGGCTTAGACCCCACTGCTGTGCACTTGGTCTTTCTCTCTTTCTCTTTTTAAAATGGGAAGGTGCCAACACCCCCTGAGTATCCTTTGAATTAGGTGCAGCACCTCTCCTGGCCCCTATCCAGTCTCCTTTTAAAGCACAAGTGCACAGATCGTGGCCTGCAATATATCCAATATCTCATTTCTGGAAGCACAATCAAGGTTTTAACACATGACATAGCATGACATCTGTCTCAGTTTCCTTCCCTGAGAAACCTTCAAACACTTTTCCTCTCTCAACACAATGTTCACTTCTTCCATCTGTTCTCCACAGGCATGTATGTGTGGTGCAAATGGAATGGGGGAAACTGTTCATTTCATACTCTTCTCTCCCCTTTGTGTATCAGCTTTGTTGTGACACCAGAAAAACTGAATTGATGCAGGCACTGCAATCCCAGTTCTTGGAACCTCTTTGTTCTAATACACTATATAAGGATTCCTCAAACTAGACCCTCACAGCACCAGCATCCAGCAATCGGAGCGGCAGAATCATCCTATTGCTCTTTTATTTTACCATAGATTTAGGTTGAGATGCACTGGGCTCTTGCTGATTTATCACTCAAGACTGCTCATATCACAATCGTATAGAATCCTGTTTTGTTTATGTAGGCGTGTCAGGCTGTTCATTTTTGTGGATTTTCAATGTAAGGCCTTAAAACTGGAGTCTAGGCTGCTCTCTGCCTATTTTAAACATTCCCTAGTAGTCCTTCTTACTGTAACCATTTGCCCAGCAATCCTTTCCCTAAATCCATTATTTTTTCAGTTCCCTTGCAGTCGTGCACCAATTCACAGCTGCAAGAAGAGAGCAGGGCTCCCTGCCAGCTGATGCAGCAGGAGATCACCCTGCTTATCCCCAAATGGGGCACCCTAAGAACCCCCCTTAAAATACTAAATACTTCCTTTGAGCCCCTTGCTATGTCCTCTGAGAGTTACCGCTCCCCAAGACTGGCTCCAAAAGGAGCTGCAGGTACACGAAGAAGGGAAATGGGGTGACATGTGTGAGTTGGAGGAGTCCACAGCAAAGAGCTGTAGCACACAAACCCAATATTTGGTATAGGAGAGGAGGAGCTGTGGTGTCCCCTGGCATTGGGAGAGTGCTACGAGGAAAGGAGACAGGGCCTGGTGTGAGGTCCATCACCATTAGGTTATAACAAGGGAGCTGGACCACGGCCTGGGTGCTGCAGAGGAGAAGAGGAATGCTGAGCAGTGGGGCAGGGGATTGAGGAGAAGTGCATGGGCCCTGCCTGTGCAGATGGAGCTCTCATCTGGAAACCAAGAGAGTTAATTTAGTTTGAATTGTTTAAAATAATTTTCTTTGCTTCCCTGAGCTGTGGATTTTCTAACTGCTTCGAGTGAGTTCTCTGTCCCTGTCCCAGTTTCAGCTGGCTTATCAGAACAGGGGCTGCTGTTGCAAGACAGCATGTGGTCCCCACTGCAGAGTGCACGACATGGACTGGGGAGATTATCCTTCAAAATAGCCACGTGCTTGCCAGGGAGGAGTGCAATATCCTCAGTCTCACCTCCATGATATAGCTGTTTTATCTCCAGCTGCACAAGCAGGTCTCTACCCTCTCCCTCCTGCCTGGTGTCTGCCCCTTACAGCAGCCTTTTGTGTGGCAGTCAGCTAACAATGGAGATGTTTTGTATCACAGCTCATGCAATCACAGTACAGGTCTAGGACCTAATTAATTATGGACCATGTATAGAAACAAGCTACTCTGTGGTTCCTGAGTCACTTCCAGTAAATCATGATCTGGCAAGCAAGAGAGTTGCCAGGGTGTTTTGTCTTGTTTAAATTGCATCTCATTTTGAGTGAGAGATCTGCATTTCTTATGGGACTGCACTGTAGGGAGAGGTAGAAATAAATCCAAAACTGTTAAAAGCAGGACTGGGGCCAATTGTATGTGCTCATACATATCTGTACATGCATCATCATTCCTCCAGCATCTACCTTCTGCTGTCCATTTCTCAGTTCAGGGAAACAAAAGCTGTCTAGGGGTTAGGGTAAAGTGCAATTTATTTAATAATCATCATTAAAAAGAAAGGTTTCTGGTAACTATGGATAGGGAACCAGTCCATGGGCTCATCTGTAATCACTAGCTGCTCTTGCTGAGCGGTGGCGCTGAGGAGGGCACAGTCTAGTGGATAGCGCAGGGACTGGGAAATGAGGCTGTTTGGCTTCATGCCAGGTCTAGACTGTGGTTTTGGGCAGCAGAATTGACCTTTTGGGGGCAAGTCTCAGCTGGCATGAAGCCCCAGAGCTTTGCTGGCTTTGCAGGAGCTGTAATAACTCATGCCAGCTGCACTTCAGTATCCCACGAGTCCAGCTGCCTCACAGCTCTGTCACTCTAATATTGACTTAATTTCTAGGAGAATTGGGAGCTCAGTGATATTTACACAATGCAGTGATTTCTGCAGGTGAGAGGCAGGTAGAGATTTGTCAAGCACGTTTCAAGGAGGGAACATCTCCCTGTTTCCGCTACGAGGGGGAGGATGGTTTGGGGGAAATTAGGGAGGATTTGGAGGCAGATGGGAAGGCTTGGGGGGAAGGTGCTTGCCGTTGTCTCTGTCCATGGTGCTGACACAGAGCCAGGTACTGGCGGGCCTGAACCATGCAGTGTTCCTGTCTAAATATTTGGAATTTCTCCGCTTTGCAAGCAAACGGTTCAAGGCTTGTTTCAGCACAGAATTGGAAGAACAGTTTTCAACCACCCAAATATGCACGGGGGGATGCACAGCTGCAGAGAGCAGGCTATAAAACACTGTCTCTCATTTTCTTTTTCATAGGAACGGATTTTCCTAACACTCTCCAACTACATCTTTACAGTCATCTTCCTGACTGAGATGACAGTTAAGGTAAATGCAGGTGGAGGATAAGTGTGCCTGTATTATATTAGTTGTTTTTAATTATCGTGGACTCACAAAACCCTTAGGTCCACCAGCTGCAAGTGTGATGTATATTTTCCTCTTCTGAATCATACTCAGAATGTCCACCATATGCCTTATTCCAAGCACGTTTTGCATCAGAACAATTGCACTGAAGTTGCTCTTGATTTACATCATTATAGGAGCAATGGGATCCTTGAATTCAGCAATCCTGTCCTATTCAGCAAAGCTCTTGAGCACATGCTTAACTTCAACCATGCATGTAAGTCCCATTGTCTTCAACAGCCAGTTGTCCTCAACAACCTAAGCTGCTGTGTGCTTTCCTGAGGACGGAGAGACTTAAGCACATTGAAACACTTTGCTGGATTTGAGGCAGAAGGCTCAGAAACCCATGGCTGTAAATCTCTCTTGAGTAATTCATAATCATCTCACTGAACAATTGCTCTTTCTTTGGAAAGTTTTTCTAGTTTCTTTATTTGCAAAGCTTGTACATGATTGGTTGGGTCAGCCACTCTGCAGCTTCTCTCCTGCAGTCTATAGGAATAAAATATGATAGAATTTTTTTATGCCAGAGCTAAAAATGTTAGGAACAGTTTTGTGTTCCTGCAGGTAGGTTTATCTGCATTAAAAGTACATCAGCTGTAAGGGACAACCTGGGATATTTCTGCAGTGGTATTTTCATAATTCTTTCAATGGAACACTTTGCTGGTTTGTCTAATTAGGCTTCTGTACTGGGAAGCAAATAGACTCACAGACTGGTGTCTGTAAATAATGCGTTCTCAGCAGGTTGCTAACTGCAACAAGCACGTTGGATGCTTCAGTCATAATTTGTTGCAACTTGGTGTCTGGGCAGGTGGTGGCACTAGGCTTGTGTTTTGGGGAGAAAGCCTACTTGAAGAGCAGCTGGAATGTGCTGGATGGGGTGCTGGTGCTCATCTCCGTCATCGACATCCTGGTCTCGATGGTGTCAGACAGCGGCACGAAAATCCTGGGGATGCTGCGGGTCCTGAGGCTGCTGAGGACGCTGCGGCCCTTGAGGTGAGTGGAGGCAGGGGAGGATCTAAGGATGTGTGTGCCAGAGGTGGGGCTGAGCGTTTGTGCATGGGAAGGGGCAGATGAGACACGTGTGCAGTGTCTGTAAGTGGTGTCACCCCAGCCTCCTGCAGCGCTGCAGACAAGGGCAGTCCGCAGGTCCTGCTCAACTGCGACAGCTCTGGGCCCTTGCTGCGTTTTGGGACCAGCCCCAAATGCAATAGGAAGCTGATCAATGCCTCTTTTGCTCATTAAAACACACATCCCCTGCTATTTGTGTTCTCATTTGCTCTGTGTAAAGTGCAGCTTAATAGCTTCTTCTCCCCCTTTCCTTCAGGCAGTCAATGGCTTTCATAACAAAGAAGGAAATTAGTAGCAGGTGGTAGATCATTTTTAAGGAAGCAGAGACTCAACTGTTGCTTAACCTAGAATGCAAAGAAGCTTTTTTCCCGAGCTCCCCATTAATTTTAGAGAGACATTTACTTTGAAAATGACCCAGACAAGATGAAAACCATTGTTCTACTAACTTGGCCCCCAACTCTGCCAGCAGGAAGTATCCCATGCTCCAGGGACAGGCTCCACTCTGATAAGAACCTGCCCAAGGACCAACCTCTTATAAACGGGCATCTGTTTGTGACCTGTACCCCAAGGCATGAAGGTTTCTCTTCATGCTAAATGCCGTTCCTCTTTAATACCATTGTTGCTGCTCCTGTTATGCAGCAGCTAATAAACCTTCCTGCTCAAAGCATCTTTGTGTGCCTGCCATATCTTACTGCTGCTTCCTCCATAAAAAGGTTCACTTTGAATCAGGATTTTTCTCTTTCAGAACAGAAAAATAGGACCCTGCTTCTGATAGAAGATGTTGTTTTACTACCCCTGTGTGAATAATAAGTCTAAATAACAATGGCCATGCCTATACATATCTTTCAAATATTCTCAACAGCTCTAAAGGACATTCTGTTCAATTGGTCTGTGTATGTGTGTTGTACCTGGTGAGTTTTAGGATGTGAGCTGCTTTTAATCATTTTTATCTGGACAGCTGGCACCATTGGGGTGGTTCAGCTCTCTCACTATGTGAGTAGGCTGTATTCCTATGTGACTCCAATTCAGGCTCTTCTCTCTTTGTGTGTCCCCTGGTATCTCATGACAGCTGCAGTTTCTGGGGTAGTTTCTGCCCAGTTGCTGGTTGGGTTGATTTGCTCTGTTCCTCTGTTTCTGCTGATTTTTGACCCATATTAAGAAAACCTATAAAATAATCTAGATGGCTCAGGGTAAAAGAAGGATTGATTTCTCTTCTCCGAACTGTAGAATGCAACTTTCTCTTCTGATGTTCCATAGTTAAATCAGATTTAAAGAGAGACGTTTGTGTTGCGCTGATCTCTGCTGGAGTCACTTGTCTGACCTGGTCAAAGCACTGCATTCTTCTTTATAGATCTGTAGGGCAGTCTGGCCAGGACTTGGGACTTTTTTTGCTGGAGCCTTCCTCTGTAGACACCTATGTGCATGAATAATCTGCAGTTACAGGGAATAATCCACTCAGTAACTGCAGACTGACGGAAGACTTGCCATCAGAAGCACGGGTGGGATTAGGGTCTTCCATTGCTATTGCATCCTATTGGTACTTTATTTGTTTTCTCAAGAGATTAAGTGCATGCTTTCAGCCAACATGCTGCTTTCTACTGCAAAGGAAACATAAAAAAAGACAGCAACAAGCCCATTCCCTAAATATGTTCAGGATCAGTTCTGTTCTCCCATTATTAGATTTGTAGGAAAAGAAAAAGCAGCCATCAAACCGGGAGCTTTTCAGTAAGTCATAAATCTCTGCCTGTGGGAGCCCATCTGCCTCTGTGCCGCACATCTGGGCAGCCTGAGCAGCCTCTGCCCACAGCTGCCCACGCTGCCTTTGCTGCAGGCTCAGGGATCACATCTTCCCTGCACAGCCTGGGATCCGTGGCTGCATCACCGCGGGGTGACAGCTGGGACAGGTGACCCGAGGCCTTTGCGCGCTGTGCCGTCAGTTACCGTGTCTGGGTGAAGCGTCTCATGGAGGCTGCGCCGGTTTTTCTTCAGGAAGGCATAAGGCAGAGACCAAAGCAACTTTCCACTCACAGCACAGAGGAGCAAACCTGGCTCCTTGTGTCCTCCCTTCCTGGGCACACTCCAGGACAGGAGTGCAGGAGGACGCCCTCAGTGAGAAGCCAGGCCACAGCTGTGTGTGTCACACGCAGCTCGAGGGCAGAGACAACCCTCGTGCTCTGTGTTGGCTTTCCCACTGGATGGAGTCGAAGGGGGATCCTTTCAAAAGATCTTCCTCATTCTGTCTTTTATTTTCTCCCGTGGAAACCACCCCATTGATTTATGCAGTACACAAAACCCTGCACAGTTCTGCCCTCTGCCCAGACATTTAAAAACCTGTATGCTAATTGAGGGGTTTTGATTGCATGATTGATTATCAGCCTCCATGAATCCATGAAGATTCAAGCCCAACTTTATGACCAGAATTCCAAAAATAAATTCACAGAGGAATGACATTTAAAGATGTTTCCATGACCCTCTGATGTTTCAGCCAGTAAAGGGATTGCTTATACAATAACATTCCTTCCTAATGCGTTCAATCTGCTATTGTTGGGATCAAGTGTTATAGCTTAAGATACGAGAGAAATCAAAATTGAAAATGTATTCAGATTTAATGTGGGTGGACTTCTCTACAGAGCCCAGGCTTTGACTCCTAAGCACACAGATAAATTATTCACTTTTATACTACCATGGTCCAGTAGTCATTTCATTACTCTCTTCTATCTATCATATTATCACCTTTGCTAATTTTCTTTTAATCTGTGGAAGAAGGTCTTCATTAATGTTGATATGTTGCCTCATCTAAGTGCTGCCACTTCTTCTGAGAGTTCTCATCAGGAAGGTTTAATGTTGGTAAGGATCTGGCTGGGATGAGGCTGGCAGTGGGTTTGGAGCATCCCACACCAGGGGTTCAACAGCACTGGGAATCCTCAGACCGGAAGAACCAGGGGGAATTAGAGGGATTAACATTTCTTCACACCAAAATAAAGAGGAAAGAATGTCTCATTCCAATTTCCCTGTTTGTCATATGCCTAATGCAGACTGGAATTGTGCTGAATGGGACCTTGTCAGGTCTCCTTTTCTTGCACAACTGCAGGGCTCCAAATCCTTCAACCATAAATTGCAGAGGTGGGGGTCAGATAATAAGATTTTATAAGCCTGATAGCAGCAGGACCTTGGCAATACTGATGAGGTGTGGGAATGCTGTATGTTGACATATTGTAGGTGTATTAATAATCTGGAAAAGCAGAGAATTTCATTGGCACCCCTTAGAGAATTGTCAGACTCTTAGGAGAATATCAGGAATCTTTGCACAGACTTGCCTCAGTGTTGGATCAGGCCCTTAGTCTGAGGCAACTCCAAGGTCTGGAGGTTTCCATTAACAAGAACTATTATTTTTCAAAATCTTTTCAAAGTCTTTCCTCCCTGTAGTGCTGAAAACAGCACTGGCATGGAGCTAAACTGGTGGCAGCTTTTACTCTCGTGCATTCTAATTTGAGGAATTCCCTGGTTGATCAAAACACTTAAAGCAGCTAAATGCTGCTGGTTTTCAGCCCTTTATTCCTCTACATGCACATGACTTTGCAAATTCAGACAAGTAACCCCCTATTTTCCCTCTCAGCTGGATATGAAATAGTACCTCACAGGGGAAATCACTTTATTATTTCTAGAACAGCACTTCTTAATAACCGTTGGAGAAAATGATCAACTTTAAACTCTGGAGACTAAATGCCTTCCTTGTTCCCCAGAATTTAAGGATGCTTCAGTAGTTCAGACTGTAGACCTTCAGTTTAGAAGAGTTGACTTTGGTTCCATCCTGCAGCCCAGTGGACAGAAGTCCACGATCCCTAAAGTCAGGATTCCTAAAGGCACCAAAGGACCTAATTTACACTGAAATAATTGGAATTGGGTTGCCTTCCTACCTCTGAGAATGTGGCTTCCCTCCTCCTGTGCCTCAGTTTCCCACCTGTAGTTTGGCAGGCGTTGTATTTCACCCAGAGCTGTGCAAGGAATGTGAGGCGTGTGAAGGCCTTTAGTCCATCTGAGGAGCTGAAAGAGATGTTCAGCCTCAGCCTGTCCAGCCCAAGGCTTGCTCTGTGCGCTCAGACATGGCCTGTTAGCTGCACTGCCTCACTAACGAAGTTGGGCACACTGAGCTGCTCCTGAGCCTCTCTTTGCTGGGCTGGGCTCAGCTCTCAGCCCCACGGCAGCCCCAGCAAGGTCTCCGGGCTGGGCTAATCCCTGTGGGCAGCTTTGGCAGCCCACATTGACCAGTCCCCACTCTGCTCATGGGCTATGCACCTTCTGCTCCCTCAGCCATCTCACCCTCCAGCTCCTTCCATAAAATACCCAGATCTGAGTGTCAGGAAAGCTGAGGCATCTGAAATAGGGAGCCACAGCACCCACCTGGCAGAGATGCTCAGTGTGAGGAATAGCAGCATCTGCTCTTTGTGTTTCACTGGTAAGAGAGCAGATAAAAATACCACCATCTGCTTCTTTTTGAAAGTGATAACTGATGAGTTACCCTTGACATTTTGAGTAAATATTTAACCAGAAAAAAAAAAAAAAGGAAATAAGCTTTAGCTTTTCAGGATATTATTTAAACCAAACAGTTTGGGTAAGAGCTGGTGGCTGTGCATTGAGCACTGCAGATCACTCAACTTGCAGGCCCTAGGGCAGGAGAGGAATGGTGCAGCTTGGCTGAGGTCCCAGATGAGGCCACACATGATCAGTGTGAATGTGTCAGTGGGGATCTCTGCTGTGAGCACCATGCCTGGGAGAGGGAGTGGGGGAGAACTTGGACCCTGTCCAGGCAGCAAAACTCCAACAGTGCTTCAGGTGGTGGAGCCAGATTTAGGGAGAAATGAGAGAGGTGGTGAGAGGACTCGCATGGCAAAAGAGAGACCCAGGCAGAAACTAGAACATGGGGAAGTTTGGGACACATTGGAGAGCCAAGTGTTCAAAGGAGTCACCAGCAGCACCCAGAAACACACAGTCACTTCCCTCCTCTGACTTTCACAGCATTTAACTGCTTCTGAGTCATGGAAGCAGTTTCTATGGCATCAGTACAAACTGATTTACAGAGCTAGTGAAATATTTAATTCCAGTTGGCATCAAGAGGAGGGAGGCATGTAACCTCTTGAAATGCCTTTCTTGGTCCCCACCTTCAGGTTGGTGAGGCTGCATATCTTGTTCATCTTTCCCAGCATGCTGAGATGGCTTCTCTAAATCACACAAGACTTGTCATTTATTTGCAACACTAAACTTGAGAGTATATACAGTTTCTACTTTTTTTTTACTTTTTTTTTTTTCTTCAGTCTTGAAGTCTACATTAGGCTTTTTCAACTTTGGGATATGATCTAACCTTCTGTTATGAAATTCTGTGTGATACCAGACAGAGAGGAGCAACAGAAATTAGGTTAGATGCTTCCAGTCCTGCCAGTGAAGTTTCACCTGGGGGACAGCACTGCTTTAGAGCTGAGGCTGTACAATGGTGGGGGGCATAAAGCAGAAATTGTGATGGTCTGAGGGGTAGCTCAGGTCCCTGTACACAGCAGTGCTATAAGTACACAACAGATTATTTTTTAAGATGAGAGTGCTGCAAACACTGACACAGGTTGCCCAGAGAGGGGATTGATGCCCCATCCCTGGAAATATCAGGGGCTCTGAGCAACCCGATATAGCAGTAGGAGGTGTCCCTGCTCATTGCCGGGGGTTGGATTAGATGACCTTTTAAAGGTCCCTTCCAACCCAAACTGTAATTGCTACAGATGTGCAGGCAGATGTGTAAGAGTGGCAACTCCATTTCATGGACTGAGACGGGGAAATCAGGTGTCTTGCCTAAATCTGTATAGGAAAGGACAGTGGAAGGCTCTCTCTTTGTAGTCCTAGACAGGCTACAGGCATGAACTGTGTCTGTGGATGGCCCAAGCAAAACAGCTGAATTTTCTGGCCTGGCTCTTTGTATGTTTTCTCCTCCTTCTCTTTATTTATGCAAAGCTGACCCTTCGCTCCAAGACCTCTGCAACTTTACAGGTCAATCTTCCAGAAGTGTTTTTTCCACAATGATTTTTGAGTTACTTGTCATTGTAAAAAATTTTCTAATGCTGTGTTCTTCATATCTTCTCTCTTGATAGAAGGCAAAATTGGGCAGGAACAGGACTAACAGCTTTTGTAATTACTTGCCCCTACAGAGTCATTAGTCGAGCCCAAGGACTGAAGCTGGTCGTGGAGACTCTCATGTCATCGTTGAAACCCATTGGGAACATTGTGGTTATCTGCTGTGCCTTTTTCATAATCTTTGGGATCTTGGGAGTTCAGGTGAGTTTTCTGTAAGCCTCAGCACTTATCTTGAAAGCGTAACAAGCCTCAAATTTCCCCAAGTCAGGGTATCTGTACGCATAGCACAGTGTTAGGCTTTCTGAACTCAAACTGATGTCAGGATGGATGGGGTCTCTGTGCTCACTGCAGGGAGTTGGACTAGGTGACCTATAAAGGTCCCTTTCAATCCAACCCATTCCATGATTCTGTGATCTTTCCATCACCTTTATTCTAGTTACAAACTGATAGGGAAATAGAAACTTGAAGCTGAGATCATTCGCTTGTAAACTCCAGAGAGACCTTGAACTGGAGATGCATTCAGATTCTGACAGTTTGTGTAACTGAAAGCTTGCAGAAACAAAGATTTCTGAGTTTGTTTCCTGCCACATCTGCTGGCAATATCCTCAGTCCCAGGAGTGCAGGAACCCAGGGGGACTGTGGCAGCTTCCAATGCAACTGGTTTTTCATTACCTGGGAAGAAGAGATTGCTTCATATAAATATTCTGACATAACGCTTACTTCTTTCTGAAGTTTATCTGATCTGTCACAGCTGTCTTTTGGAAAGAAACTCTATTTGGCTTTGTTTTGGAAAGGTATCTTATATAATATTTGACTCTAACATACTGCTTAAATAATAAATACAGCATTGAAAATAAACAGGGAAGAAAATCATACCATCCATAACCACCTCAGCAGCTAGATTGGTTTAGCATTACAGCATAACAACATCCATCCATTATATTGAACAGACTCATAAAACTAAGCATATCCCATAAAACAATCTAACACTTATGAGAAAATTTATGCCAGAAAACAAAACTTGCAGTATGCTCTTTGAATTTCATCCCTGCTAATTGTGATGCTTTCCCTGGTGACTTGCAGCTTTATGTTAAATTGTCATGACTATTGATGTGATTCAGAGGTAGATAGATACAAGCAAGACTGATCCTGTATTCAGGATGCAAAATTCTCAGTGAATATTTATGTCTAATTAGATGTAAGATGAGGCCAGAGCTATTTTCTATAAAAAGATGATCTCTCAAACTTACAGTTAGTTTTTACATTTAAATATAAGCTGGGGTTCAAACTATTAAATCTATTTTAATGGTTTTAATCTATTAAAATCCAGACATCAAAATTTCTAATGGTGTGTCCTCTTAGCAAAACTGTTTTGATTGTAGAGCTGCCCATGTGTGAATGGTCATTTATAAGATAGAAGAAATAGGTGGATAAAGCAAGTCCAGTAAGGAACACTGGGTCTTTTCCTTTCAGAAGTGCCCAACTGTGAGGTACTGACAAGGATCAATGTTTTTACAAATTGAGCTTTGTATTTCCAAACCCTGTCAGGAGCACTGTTACTGCTCCCACCTGAGTGGTATTACAGTCCAGCTCCTGGAGAAGTTATATTTACAGACAATATACTAGAACCATTTATTTACCTTCCTGCTTAATTAAAATTTTTCTCTGTGAGGAGTATATCTCCCCAGTCTGCCTTACCACTGATAGTGTTTCTCCATGGAAAGATCAGGGAATACTTCTTACATCCAAAATTTCTATGATTGCGTTGAGCAGTGATTAATTTTGCATGCCTAGAGACCAACTTCCTGCTGTTGATTTCTGGAGGAAACCCATGGAGCAGTGTGTGAATTTATCTTGTTCACTACTATTTCTACTGTTATTTGTCTAGAACAACAGATCAAACCCCATCAGTGTCTCTTCTCAGTATACCCAGGTGGTGTTTTAAGGAGCCTGGAGAGCAGGTTGCCATTTCCCCTCACTTTCCAACAGTAATGTCAATAACTTCTGTCAGCAAATAAAAGTAGATTTGTTGGCTGTCTCCTGGGATTTGATACCATCCATCCTGCTACCATCAATCACCCTGTCTGAAGCAGTAATCAACCCCTGCCACTTTCTGTTCCACGCGTGGGAAGCACCAGGTCTAGAATTAAGCACATGGAGGCTCCTGTTCCTCATGCAGGTATAAATAAGGACCTGACTCTCCAGGAATTGCATCCCCCTAGGCATAAACCAAAGGAAATAAGCTCAGGATCAGGTACCCAGCACTGTCTGGGCTTGGCTCCTTAAGCTGTGCACAGGGAATAATTTCAGTGACTCTGCAGACTGCAGAGCTTTATGACAGCTGGGGCACAGCACCCAGAATCAGAGAGCAGAGCAGGACTGACAGCAGTCTTAATTCAACACGAATGTCACCCCCAGGGGCTCCTCTCCCCTGGGAAGTGTCCCCCTGTGACCTCCATGAGCAGAGATTAGTCCATCACTGGGTCTCTTTGCTGCCACCTTTTCTCTGCTGACAGAGGGGCCCTGTTAGACTTCATTTGTTGTTAACTGGAGTGAGAGCCACCAGAATTGTTCCACATGTGATAAGAAGCCATTAGCTGGTCTGGGCTATTGGCTGGGGCTACACTTGAGCTAACAAGTGTAGGAGCAAAGGCCTTTAGGTGAGTCTCAGATCACTGAACCAGACAGCTTAATGCATGAGGTGGGTGTCCAAAACGATGTGAAATCATGCATTTTCTCATTAGGTGTGTCTTATACAGGCTGCTCAGTCTTAATAACCTGTATGAATCAGGTCACTTCCCTTGACAGCTCTGGTTGGCGTGCGCTGTGTGAGAACCCTGGATAAATGCCCATCACCTGCATAGAAATCCTGTGGACTGAACCCTGACACTTCCTCTCTTTGCTTGTTTTGCAGCTTTTCAAAGGCAAGTTTTTTGTGTGCCAGGGGGAGGACACCAGAAACATCACAAATAAATCGGATTGTACAGAAGCAAGCTACAAATGGGTCCGGCACAAGTATAATTTTGATAATCTTGGCCAGGTATTAATAGAACGGTAATCTGCTTCTTTGCTCCTTTACCTCCTTGACTTAAAACCTGTGGCTTATTATCCCGTGGGATTTTCTTACAGGGCAGTGCCAGCCACAGTAAATATTCAGTTCACATACACAGCATTCTGTCTCTGTAAATCCCAAAGGCAGTGTTTCCAAGCAGGCATACACTTCTTTTCGGAACAGAACAAGCACATGTGGCTTCATGAAGCACTTAATTGCTTCACTGCTACATAACAAACCAAATATATCTTGCAGAAGGGCTTGTCTAATAGAGCTGGACATTTTCAGCCATCTCTGCAACGCAGCCTTTTTTTAGCAGTGTGGTAAGAACTAATTAGTTGGGAGCAGTAGAGACCCGGAGGGTGGAAATGAAGCCACTTTTGTCTTCAGCACTGTGGTTTCTGAATTACTGTTCCTTGCTGAACCAGGCATTGGCATTGATAGGTTTTGCTGCCAAGAGAAATCTTGGTCATCAAAGTGTCCCATTATCAGGCAGGAAAAGGCAAAGTGGAGTAAGATGTTACAAGTAAAAAAGGTTTAGTGCAACTGTGTCTCACTGTTTTTCCATGCGTTTCTAGGCCCTGATGTCTCTGTTTGTCCTGGCCTCCAAGGACGGGTGGGTGGATATCATGTACGATGGCTTGGATGCTGTGGGAGTCGACCAGCAGGTACAGGCTGCAGCAGAGCTGCAACAAATGACTTGTCAAAGGTCACGTATTTTAGCCCTTGTTTTGCAAGGTACTGTGGGCTTCCACTGTCAAATGGGCTTATGAAATTAGGATCCAGGGTGGTATTTAATCCAAGTTGTGAGATGTGATGAGTTAGTAAAAAGTCTGGATTTGTACTCAACACTTTCCCTACAGATGTTGCATCATGGTGTAACTCGTGTTAGGAGAAGTGCACCTATCAAAGGATGGTTTGACCTTTTAGGCAGTTTGGTCATCTCAGGAGAAAAGAAGTGCTTTGTGTATGTAGAGGTTCACAATGAGGGACCTACAGTAGCTGCAGAGGATGCTGCTGTCCTTTTTGCAGAAGAGAGGTGGTGCTTCTGTCCTCAACACACATTTTAGGAGCATTCAGTTAAAATGTCTCAGCAAGCTCTAATTTTCAGGAAGAGCAGAGCAGCCTGCCTGAAAGGGCTGTGAGTTCTGTGGATGGCACAGCTGTATCAATTTGTTCCCATTCTTCTTTTTGAGATTCAGTTGAAATTTGCCTTCCTCCACTTTGCAGCCAGTCATGAACTACAATCCATGGATGCTCCTCTACTTCATTTCCTTCTTGCTGATTGTGGCCTTCTTCGTCCTCAACATGTTTGTGGGGGTGGTGGTGGAGAATTTCCACAAGTGTCGGCAGCACCAGGAGGAGGAAGAAGCCAAGAGGCGGGAGGAAAAAAGGCTCCGCCGGCTGGAGAAAAAGAGAAGGAGTAAGGAGAAACAGATGGCTGGTCGGTAGTCTTTCCACATCTTTCTGAGTCCTGCTTGACCTTCCACATAATCCCCTCCTCCCTCCCCTCCCTGCCTTGCATCTGGTGATAATTCTTCTCCCAAAAGCATGTCCAGCTATAAAATTTGCATGAAGGAAATAGTGTCATTTTAGGCTGAACAAGGAGCCAAGGAAGCCTTTTTAATGGCTGCATGATTTGCAATGACCTTTCTATTGGGGGTTATTTAAATTGAAAAATAATATTAATCAGGCTTGGAGCTTCTTGGATAGCAGAGCTCAGTGTTACACAAATAGTGACAACTGCAAAGATCAGTAGTGCTGGATGGCATCATAAATCTCAGTCATGAGCACTGTTGCTGATAACTGGATTCACTATTTGGTTTATTACAGTCTTGTATTGCCACAGTGATGTTACCTGTCTCATTTATCAAGCAGGTTTATTTATTGGCACAGTAGCACCACTGCTATTCAAGAATGTAATAAAATAATAGAGCCATCTCATTCTAGTAATGCTTTAAAACTCCATAGAGAAACATATCAATGCATTTGCTTGAGAAATACAGATTAGAAGACAAAAAGCCAACCAGACAAGGAGAGTAACTAACTACACAAAATAGTGCTGATGCAAATTGAACCCAACTCCAAACTAGATGTGCAAGTGTGCAGCCCTGCCTAGAGGAGGCTCTACACATGAAACAAGGAAAGATCCCACTCTGCCAAAAGTCTGCAAACTGACATTTGTCTCTTAGTCTATTTTCATTTCAATGTAGTTGAATAATTCAGAAATAAGTTAGCCAGAGGCCACAGATTGGAGGTGCTTTTCTTGCATGCTCTCTCTTCTGACTGAACTTTCTCCATTGCCCTTCCTGTCCACGGCCTTGCACATTCTCTCCCTGGTCAGTCCGCCTCCTGCTCTCTCCCTGTCCCCTCTCACATCTCTATCTTTGACAGACTTCAGGACTGTTTAAAAGGCTGTCTGATTAGGTGCTTGTTCCCAGAGCTGGTGATATTGTCTGTTTTGTTTTTCAATAGCCTAAGAGGTTGTTGCAGGCTTAATCACAGAACCACGTTACCACGGCGCTGCCTCAGCCTCTCTCCGTTCAGCATTTCCCCAACCATTTCCTTTGGTCACATCTTTTAGTCCCGTGAGCTTCACACGTTACAAAATGTCTTACAAAACAGGATGTGTCACACCAGCCCCTGACCATCACACTTAGGTTTATGCCGAGAGCCTGCTTCCCTCACTGGTCAGTGTAAAGTAGGAGGCTTCCTCATGAGCACTGGAGGACACATTGGACTGTTCTCAGCTGAGTGGGATACAGATGGAAAGAGGTTTTTTTTGTTGCATGTTTTTTTGGGTTTTCTTTTTCTCCCTTAAGAAGATGCCTAGGAAGCTCTTTTGCTTAGTTCAAGTTCCCAAGCCCAGTTTAAGGCTGATGAGTTAGAAAAGGATTTTAAAGGTTGGATAGAACAATTGCTATTTAAATTTTCAGTTTTGGAATGCTGATATTTCTGTAGAAAAAAATAGATGTTTAAGTATTATTAATTACTTTATTTGTAATGCTAGAGCAACTAGATGAAGAAAAGATGTAAGTCTGGGCAATTTCCCACAGGGAAGGAATCGCAAACCATCCTTGGAGATACAGTTATTCATTCAGTGCTATGAAATACCTCATTAAAGAGGCAATAAACAGATACTTTACTGAGGATCAAATATTGCTGAGTATTCAATTGCCATAAAAACCTTTCAAGAGTAAAGTATGAAGTCCTCCAAATCGCTTCAGAACAGTTTTCCCAATCCATGCTCAGCGAAACATTAGTTTTAATTGATTGTGTCCAGCTTTCCCCTCAGAGGCAACAGATGCCACTGCTTAACTTTGTTCTGCACAGTGGGAACTTGCAGACGAAACCCTGACTAGGGCTGGAATTGTGCCAGCAACTGCATGGGGGTTCCTTTCAGCTGGGCTTCCTGAGTGACCGCAGATGCCCAAACCAGCCTAGGGTTGCCAAATACAGACAGGCATTGACATCTGACTGGTGGCACGGTCATTTTTGGTTGTAGACCCTTCCAATACATTTATCCAATCAGGCGTCTAAAAACCGGGGAAGCGCGTGAGATCTGAGATGTGGGCAGGTGCAGGAGTGGTCACTGTGAGGTATTGCTGTCCCAGCAGGAAGAGTCCCAGATGGTCCTTCAGCAGTGTCTTCAGCATCGACTGAGGGGGTTCTTGGGGATGTCTTGGGCTTTCACAAGAGGGAGAAGCACAAGAGCTCTTCCTTTTTCACATGTAGCTGAGCCCACCCTGCACGAGGCACAAGGATCCCACAAGGAAACGCTCCTGGCAGAGCAACGGAGAGCCACAGGAACCTCCACAGGGGCTGGGGAGTCTTGCTGTGTGTCCTGCTGGGTGATTAATGCCGTTTCATTCTTTTAGATCTAATGCTGGATGATGTATTAATGGAGAGCTCAGCCAGTGCAGTGCAAGGTACTGGGCAGCTGGCACGTCGCGTCCCTCTGAATGGCAGTGCTGTGTCACTAACGGTTGCCGCCGCGGCTGAGGCGTCCCACTAAACCGTGTGTGTGTGCAAAGCTCGTTTGCTTCCTTCATGGCACACGCATCTCATCCTGAGCAGCAGGTCTGCAGGCCTGCCTCAGCACTGACACTTGCAAACCCTTAATTTACTCCTCGATCATCTTACGTTATTCAGTATTTTTTTTTCCCTCTGGTTTTCATTAAGACACTGTCAGACTTTTCATGGTCTTTTTTTTTAATTTTTATTTTTTGGTTCTTTAAGCTTTTTTTTTTTTTTCTGAAGAGAATAATGACTGGACTGTGAAAATGGGTCCTCTACTGTTGATTTTAGCTTTCCAACAACCAGCTTAGGAGTCTGAATGATGTTCAGGTGTGTGTCTTTGGAAATCTTAGGGAGGATATTTCATTATTTCTTCAGCCCTTGCTTATTGCTCTACAAACACTGTACTCCAGGGAGTGTTTTTTTTCAGCAGGGTAAAATTCAGTATAGGGCAAAGCTTCAGTGCTTCAACAGGGAGCTCAACCCCACACCAGCCCCTGCTGTGGACACAGGATTTAGTCATTGTGCTGCCCAGTGTGTAAATTCTGTACATTGATTAAGAGTTGCTCAATCCATTAAGCATTTTGTAAATTAAAAGAAATAAAGATACCACCTCAAAGCCTTTTCAGGTACTGAAGGAGATGGACCAGCTGGGCTTAACACTAATGGGGTCTGAGCTGTCCCTTTTGACCCACAGCTCGCTCACACTTCCCTTTCCCAGCCCCCTTCTCAGGATGATGCTCAGGGCTGCAAATCCATCCCTTGCTCTTTTTACTTTTAGGAGAAGCTTTGATCTGGAAAGCATTTTGTTTAATTCATAACTTAAGAATATTAGCCTGAATATTTAAAGAGGCACCAACATAAAAACAAATATAGCTGTAATTTTCTACAAAAATAATACACTACAAAAATTGTGCCATTAAAACTCTCACCTGTGCACAGGCTGCCACCGCTGGCAGCCTGTGAGAGATGGGTGCAGGGCTCCATCCATCTCTCTTAGATTGCAGGGAGCTTTGATTAAATAAAAATTGGCTTTCACTGCAGAGATAACTCAAGGAGACAGAGATTCTACCTTGTATTTCTAAGGCCTTGTTGGAAGTTATCACAACATGCTTTAATAAATCCTGAATCTCCTTCCCATTGCCATTCCTGATGTTTATATTTCTTTGATGTCTTTCTTGCTGCTCTTGCTGGGCCTCTTGGCCTCTCCTGTGCAATGGGGGCAGCGTGAGGGAGGGGCTCTCAGTGGGTTTGGTGATCTGGTTACTTTTTCTTCTTTTTGCTTGATTGTGACTCCTCTTCTGGTCCTACAGAGTTGCATCAAGACTGTCTTATGTTATTTTTAAGACACTGAACTCATTCCAAACCCCTCCATTATTCCTTGCAGGCTCAGAAAATCTCTTAACATTTGCCTTAAAGATGTGTACAATTGTCAGATCTGTGCTGTGTGTTTCCTTTTGCTGTCTTTTCTTTGGATCCAGTGGTAGTGAATGTGCCATGCTGCTCTGCAGGCACCAACATGAGAAACAGAAGGGTTTTATTTCTCAACCTGACTGTTGGAATTTAGGGAATGAGTCCCCTGGTGCAGTAGATGAACTTCCTGTGGTTCAGTGAGGAATCTGGAGTTCTGACCCAAAGCTTGCCCACATCTTGGCACTTTCAGAGGGCGTCTTTTCTCTTTCTGTGAAGACAAGATGATATTGTGTGTGTGCGTGTGTGCTGCTGCCTGGTGCTTAGTGAAATATTTTATAATTTTATTTTTTCCTTTATTTTTTCTCCAAGTCTACATTCTATCACAACTGGAATCTTCGCAGTGGAAATAATTTATCATTTTCCATTTCATTTTTTTTTTAATAAATCCATTCAGTACAATAAAAGCCAAGTAAAACTCTGTGTTTAAATAAAACAAGTTCCTTCAGTGCAAACTACTTTTTAACCTAATAATATTCTTGATACATTTTGTAAATCCAGCTGCGTCATGGGCTCAGTTGCTCACTGGTTTGCCACTGTCCTCCAGATACTCAAACCTGCAAAGCAGTTAATTCCCTTATTATAGGAGAAGGAAGAAGCTGAAGGAGACAGTAATGGAATTGTCCCACTCTTGTGAATTCCAATTTCCCGTGCCCACGCACCTCCAGCTCGAAGTCACCTCAGGGAAAGTGGCAATTTCTCTCTTGACAGGGCTATATTAGGAGGCAGATGCTCCTTGGAGATATTTTGGAGCTGCATGCTCAGCTTGATTCCCCCCCAGAAATGCAGTTAATGGGCAGAAAGTGGCCCCATTCCCACTCCCAGCCGAGCCCTGGAGATTCTGGGAGTGGCACTGCCCAGCAAAAGCAGGGCTGCCCCAGTGCTGCTCTGCTGGGCACTGGTGATGTTTCACAGGTGATGTCCCACTGCCATCAGAAAAATGGAATGCAGGGTTTGGTGCCCCAAACCCAGTCTGGGATCTCTGAATCCCAAGGGCACCTGGCCTGGGAAAAGTTAGACAGGTGTTAGGAATGGGAAATATTTATCCACAGCAATGGTCATTTCCTTTCCAGCCAAACAGGAGGGAACAGTGGTGAGTTCCCAGACCATGTCAAGGGGATCAATAATAATCCTAGAGCTTCATGCCAAGAGTTGAGTACTGAAGCCTGGGATACAACCTAAGTTGAGAGCCCATAGAAGGGATGAGCTAAAGCCAAGGCACTGCTTCCCATGCCAGCACAGTCAGGACCACCATCACTCGCTCAGACCACCTCCCAGCTGGCTGCAGCATCCCCTTCCTGCCTGGGTTAGGAGGAGATCTCTCAAGATCCACTGTCTGAGCCAAGTCTATCCTGTGGAATGATCTCCAGACTTGACCCACTTCTCCCTCTGCCTTGGCCCCCAGCCCTGGTGAAGCAGCTTGATTTACACCTTGTTTACCAGCCTGATATCTCGTAGTGGGCTTTTGCTGTATTTCCTCATATTTTTCATTTCTGCCAATTCCTCTTTGTTGGTTTGCTCTCTGCCTTTCTTTAATGCCATATGTGCCTGGAAGCCACATTAACCTTTCCAGTAATAACCAAGACTAACCCAGAGCTCTTGTTGTTCTTGACACAGTGTATTGTAACGGTACAGTAATGTGGTCTTGTGTTAGTTGTGAAGTTCACCACCTGGAGTTTAACAGATGTCTGTATTTCCCAAGATGTTGGTATTGTTAAGCTCTTTATTGCAATAATTACAAATGGCACTGTGTCATAGGAGGCAGGGGCTTCGCAGAGGGGGAATTGTATCAGATCTATCCCAAATTCTCTGCAGAACTCTGCAGGGTCGAGTTAAAGAAATGGTATTTTCACAATGGTAAAAACTGATTTATCTGTTCAGGAAGTTCCCTGCTTACCTAGACACAGTGGGGATTTATCCCTAGCCCTCAGGCAGCATGTTAGCCTGCGTGTGGCACCAAGATGCATGGCTGACATGGGGACACTGGGGTAGCCAGTGGTGACATAACTTGTAAGCATGGGTTGCCAAATCTCCTCTTAACAAACTTAATGGAGAAGGATGGAACATTTATCACTGGGAATTTTCCAAGGCTGCAAGGGCATCTGTGAGAGCAGCATCTAGAGAGGGTTGGCTGGGTGCTGGGCAAGGTGAGCAGGAGATGTGGTGCAAAGGGGAAAAGCCTTTGCAGATATCTCAACAATTAGCAACCCTGCTTATAAGGTCATGCACTGGCTAATCCAGGTGCAGGAGCCCTGCACAGGGAACATTTACAACCTCTCTCTAAATCCTCTCTCTGTTCTAACAGCATTGGTGCTATTCTGTAGGATTTGGAATTATCTGTCAGTCAAAGCTGAGAAAAAAAATTAAATTCCAGTGTCATTATTCATAAGCAAATCCATTGCAGGAAAAGGTAGAAACGTTGACATTTTTCTTTTTGAATGTGAATTATACATAAATGTAGAAGAAGTAAATGATCCAATTACAATGGTGTTTCTTTCTGAGATGATAAGTTGGTTCATAAAAATAGGTCCTATTCCTAACCTAATTGTATTCAAACATTTTAGTTAATTTGCTAGTCATAATTTAGCATAATGTGATCGAGATATCTTGACTTTATGGAGATTTATGCAGATTCTGAGATATCTGACAAAGTCTTATGAGTGAGTCAGCAGCTACTAGTCTGCTTTTTTTCATAAGCACTCAATAGATTCAGCATGAAAATTAATTTCATAGACCTTTTCATCAATACTGTGCCTTAGCACTCAGGTGCAGATCACCTAAAGCCCACTGCAGATCAGAAAGTGAATATTAATACTGCCTTTCATTTGATGACGCTGAAACAGAATTTTGGGCCTTCCAAACCCCTACAGAATAAACCTGCTAAGTGTTTTTCCCCTTTGGTCCCTGGGCTGGTAGGGAAAGGTCTGTCTCTATGGAAAAAAAACAAAACTGATTTTTCAGGATCTTCCTATGAGGCAGGGAGCACATGAAGCCTTTAAATCTGTGGATTTGATTGCATTGTCATTGGCTATTGACAAAGTGAGCTCTATTTCCAGGCAAAATACAATCTTCTAAAATTAGTATTCCCCTAGGGCAACCCAAACCTGTGCTTCCTGGCATCATTTTTGCCAAAGTTTTTTTCTTGGACTATCGAACTGTACATTTGCTCTGGAGCACTGTACATTTGCTCTGGAGCACTAAATATCAACTGTGCAATTCTTACAGCTCAATAATTTTCATAACCAGTTGATCATCTAATTATGAGAGTAATATTGTACTCTGACATTTTCAAGACAGCCCTTTCCACATCAATCTGCATTATAATGCCTCCTTGAAAATTGTACTGAATTATATACTCAGCCTTGGCATTTCCTCATTAGATATTAGGTGGGTAAATGAGTTTATCTCTAGGAATATTTGGGGTCCAAAGTCCCTGTGTCATCCCTGAGGCAGCCAAACATGGGATGCAGTTGGACAGTGCAATCTGCGTTTTGATAATTTGTCTAAATCGTTATTTTCTGATCACTAAGACTCACTGATCAGTTTTCATTGGTATTTTGATGGACCATTTTGCTGTCAGCCAAGGTGTTGAATTCTGTTGTTACTACAGTTTATTGCAAAGAACATCATATGTTTGCACTCTTTCTCTTTCAAAGACCACCACATACTCAATGGCCTGTGTTTTTAGGCAATTGTTAGTAAAATCTGTCCCTAGCAAATGACCATTAATTGGGTTTTCTAATGCTTTGGGGACTTTTAAGATCAACAGAAACAAAAATTGTTATTTTAATTTAAATTTCACTTAAATTTCCCTACAGAGAAAAATTCTTTTTAGCAGCACACTAGTCTCAGCTCACCTCATCCCTGATCCCTGATACAAGGCTGAGTATAGAGCATGTCCCACTAAAATATTTAATGGATATAAGATGACGAGAGCCCTGCTGCGTATTAAAAATGGTAACATGCCAGCAAGGAAAAAAGGAAATAAAAAAGACAGTATTTTGCTGTGATTGGTCTAGAATTTATCATCTCTGGAGCTGGAGAGTGAGGGTGCATTGACTTGAGAAAGATGCAGAGAAATCCCTTGATTTGCCTCTCGCTCTCCTCCCCGCTGCAGAAGCTCAGTGTAAGCCCTACTACTCGGATTACTCCCGTTTCCGCCTCCTGATTCACCAGATGTGCACCAGCCACTACCTGGATCTGTTCATCACCGGCGTCATCGGCCTCAATGTCATCACCATGGCCATGGAGCACTACCAGCAGCCCAAGGTGCTGGGGCACACGGGGGGACCTGCAGAGCTGTGCTGGGCTGTGCTGCTGGGCAGGGTTAGGGCCAGGTGTGCTGTAGGTGTCCGCCTTTGCCAGGGGAGTGTAGCCATCCTACAGCCCCCAGCTCAATCCAGGGCTTTTGGTACAAGGGTCCCACTGCACCTCTCCCTTCTAGTTAAGTGCAAACTGACCACTTTGAGAATGGGACTGGGAGTGGGTTTGCTTGCTTTGCTAGATTGATCATCATTGATATCTTCCATTTCACTCAGGTTTTACACCCACCCTCTCCCCCCACCATCCCCCCCGACCCTGCAAAAAAGAAAAAAAGAAGAGGGAAAAAGGAAAAATAATAGAAGAATTTGGGAAATGGGGTTTTTTGAAAGTTTCTTCTAAATCCCCAGTGTCCCTAGTTTTCACAGGAATTGGATTCCATGCTGGTCTTTAAAATGCATTTTAATATGTTAGTGTGCTTAATTCCTGGGTCTTTGTCATTCTGTGAAAATAAAAACAGCCTGTCCTGAGATGTCTTTTCTACATAAGAATGAAAGGGAAAGAGCTGCCTTTGCCACATAACTTGTACTTAATTTTATTAGCTACATTCAGAATGAATAAATATAACACACAATAGGAGGAAACATTCTTTAAAATTAGACAGGATGTGGATACTTAATATTAAAAAAAAAAAACCAAACAACTAAAACAAGTAAATGACAGGGGCAGGGGGAAATATTCTCCACTCTATCATAAGCCAAAAGTTAAAGGGAGCTAGCCCAATTTATTTTTTCTGTCCAGGTCACCTTTAAGTACTCCAGAAGGCTCATTGCATGGTTCAGTTATTAGATGATGAAGCAGGTTGTTGGCAAAGGAGTCTGGGCTGGAGTCATTCTAGAGCACGTGTCTTACCGCAGTTGCTTTGCAGCTACATTTTCCCTTGTATTATAGAAGTGTTGGGCAGGCTTTTGTTTTTCTTTTTCTTTAGAAAAATAACATTTTGTCTCTAAGCCTCTGGTATGCAGCGTCTGGCTAGTAAGTCCAAGCTTGGGTTATGCTGGGATGACAGCATGGTCAGAGTCATGCACATGCTTGAGTCCTGCTGAATTGGGGCATGGAAATCCCTTCAGTCTGGATGATGGATGGCTGGGATCCTGAAGATATTTGAAGGCCAAATGTACCAAAGAGATTTCAAATGTACCAAAGAGATTTATATCCAAACTAGTGATTTCTTGGTGCTGAAAGGGGTTGGTTTTTGGATATAGCAGGATGGCCTGGGGATGAGACCCCAATTGGAGATGCTGCAGCTCCTGGAGAGGAGGGAATGCTGCAGTGTGCAGAGAGGTGGCTTGAGTAAAGAGCTGCTGAGAAAAATCTGCTTCTGCCAGCTAAATGTGCTCATTTGCTGCAGAGCCCAAGTGCCCTGCAGTATGGCAGGGAGGCTTGCTCAGAGCCACAGCTTCCTTTGGCAGCTGGGCTTGTGCTTCTTGGTCACATGAGGTGATTTTTGTCCATGGATGCTGGAAGCTAAACTGTAGCACAAAGGCAGGGTACATGACTTAAACTCCTTCTGCTATGATTTCTCCCACTCAGGGATAGGTAAATGTTGGATTTGGTCTGTGAGCACATCTCCCCTGTTCCCTAACACTGCCCTGGACATTGTTATTACCATGCTGTTTGCCAGCAGGGAGAAATTCAATGCACAGTACTTAAGAGGCTGTGAAGGATGCTGCTACCACAGTGTTCCTTCATGAGTGAGGCTTTTGGGGATAAAATCACTTCTGATGTAGCTTAATGCCTGACTGTGCAAGAGTTGTCCCAGCCAGCATGCACTTGGATTAAACACCAGACTGACTTCTTGCAGAGGGGAGGGGGGCAGAGGAAAATGCAAGGCACTTTCTTCCCCTGGCATGTCATCCCTCTGTTGCGCTCCTTGCCAAAAGCTCAAGGTGAGAAGTAATGCCAGGCTGTCACCAAGGAGCCATTTGGCCAGCACTTGCACAAATGGACAAGTGGGATGAAATTCAGCTCTCTGACAAAAGCACAAGAGGTCTTGTGCTGCTGAGAGCAGGAAATGCAGCAGCTCTTTCTGAGCACCCCAGCGATCCCAGCTGGGGCTGTGCTGCTGCTAGGGGAGGGAGTTGTGCCTTGGGCCTATGTCAGCCCCTCCTGAGATTCTGTCACCAGGCAGCAAGTGTACTCCATGAATCCCTGGGACTTTTCCCTAGGACATTTCTCATCAGAGAGAGCCCGTGTTTGAAGATTTTTAACTGTAATGGGTAACTGATGACACAAGAGTCAGGTTTGGAGGCAGCAAAGCACCTCTGCAGAGCTAACATCTAACCCAGTCCTGTGTCCACATCCCAGGTTCTTGATGAAGCCCTGAAGATTTGCAATTACATCTTCACCGTTATCTTTGTCATGGAATCTGTTTTCAAGCTTATTGCCTTTGGATTTCGCCGCTTCTTCCAAGACAGGTAACCAAAGATCCATTGTGATCACGAGGTGAGCGGCAGGCTCTGTGGAGAGCTGCCCACATTCCACATCCTGAATTCCCGTGCTCTGGCCCATACTGTGAGTCTGACATGTATGAAGGCTTTTTGGAGTGACTGGTTGAAGGCTGGGTAGGAGGAGACATGGGATGTAAGCTGGAGGATGGGTTGTGCAGGCCAAGGAGTGGGATTGCACCATTTTGGCCCTTGGGAGCAGATGAAGGAGGGACAGGTCTCCACCAAGCAGCCAGTTCTCTTCTCATGCCAGTTGCATGTCCATATAATCAAGGGAACCTGCTGAAGAGACAAAATTTATGTAAGAGGAAGAATCTATCCCTGAGTGAACACGAAAGAAAGAAAGAAAGAAAGGACCTCTTTTTAATGCAGATGAGGAGCAATAGATGACATTGTAACCTTTATCTAGATTTTCACTGTCTTACTTCACAAACACAAATCTTATGTCCTTGGTGGATCTTTCTCCCATTTTTGTCTTCTTCAATGTTAATACCAAAACCAGGGCACTAAGCAGGCCTTCACATGAGCCCTTCAGCAACCAGTGGATGGTTCCATCCCTGTCCCAACATTTTGTGTGTCCATGCTGGAATTAACAGTTTCTGCAGCCTGGCACAAATCCTTGGGGCCTTTCTTTCACCAACACATCTTTTTTTCTAAGGACTGTACATGGGGGTCCTGTTCTCTCTGGGGCAGATCTCACATCGAGGTCCACAAATGTCATGTCTGGAAGTGGCTAGACAGACAACACAATGCCTCTCCTGAGGTTTGGAGTCTCTGCGTAAAAAACTTCCCAGCTTTTGTTCCTCTTTCCCCTCAGTCAAGGATATCTTTGGAATTGGCTGGTTTTCTAATGAGATGTATTAGTTATAATGATTTCATAACATCACTGCTTTTATATAATACCCTCAGAAAAATACTGCAGATTCATTTGAGTTCTCAAACCATTGAAATGACTGGAATTCGTGTGAAACAGGCTGCCTCCCATTGCCAGCTTCTTAGTAGACGTTAAACTTCACTTTTTGTTGTCTCCAGATGGAACCAATTAGATCTGGCAATTGTGCTACTGTCTATCATGGGCATCACTTTGGAAGAGATTGAGGTGAATGCTTCACTACCAATTAACCCCACGATTATCCGGATCATGAGGGTTCTCAGAATCGCCCGAGGTGAGAGGGATAAAGCAGAATTTACTTGTGCTTGAGGTATGTGCTTGGCACCAGGAGAGAGTTAAACATTGAGAAACAGTCCTGGGGCACATCCCCATCATGATGTGCATATTTCTGGCATCACAGGCTGTAAACAAATGAAAGAACAATGGGGGAAAATACTTGTAAGGAGCCAAAAAGCTGAGCCAACTGACCATGTGTTTCTGCCTTAAGAGATCTTGAAGGCAGAGAGCTTAGAAATTAAGGAGAAGTAGCTGTGGCAGTAACTCCCAGAGATGTACCTGGGAAGATTGCTCCAGTCATATCAAAGTCATCTCTGACACGGATTAGAGAATACAAGCCTGAGTACATTGGCTTTAAAAGATGAGCATCTAATAATTTTAAATTCCCATGAGGCTTTACATCACACCGCTTGGTGACAAAGCATGCCTTGTCACACTGTACCCATCTGTCCCTTCAGATGTGTTCCCAAGTCAGGGAGCCAACTTCTTCAGGGATTGAAGGAGTTGATTTTTCAAAACAGGGAGGTGTCAGGGCCAAATGTTGAAGACGTAAAATGTTAGTGCTCAGGCCCTTAATGAAGTACTTCCAGGCCCTCCTGAAGGGTATTGTGCTCTGAGGAAGAATTGTTTTGATTACAGCCCTCATCTAAGCAGAGAAGGAGCTGGAGGAGAAATTAAATGCTGCTGTCTCAAGAGGGGTGAAAAGTGGGTTTTCTGTGCATTGGATCCCTTTCAGAATTAAAAATACATGCAGCTTCCAATTGGAAATGCAGCCTTCTGGAAGAGATGTGTAAATCATTCCTCAGTGAATCATGTACGAAAGTGGGTAGCCTATGGAAGTGGGAAAGTAGCCCCAGGGCTGGGAAAGGAACTGCTCATGATTACCAGAGGAAGGAGATGAGTCCAACACAGATAAAGTGGGGAAGGAAGAGCCAGGCAGAGTGATAACGCTTTCTCCAAGTCTCAGAGTAGGTGATGCTGCTATTCATGGGCTTTTGATAGTATCCAGGCAACAACAAATGATGTAAAAAGGCCAAGGACTGTAGCAGCTAATGGAGAACACTTGACAAGATTTCATGTTTCTCTTCCTATAATCTGTGGCTCCTGGGAGAGGGACTGAGTTTGTGCCTCTGTGCTAACGCTGCCATTACCATACTGCAAATGTGTTTTCCACAGTGCTGAAGTTGCTGAAGATGGCTGTGGGGATGAGGGCCCTCCTGGACACCGTGATGCAAGCGCTGCCACAGGTAACCTACTGCCATATCAAACCAGAGCCCTTCTGCCCACAGCTCATTTCCTATTGCAGAGGAATGCTAATAATTTTATCTTTACTGTCATTAGAGAATCACATTTCCCTCCCGAAGCACTGAGATACAGTCCCCACATTGAGGTCATTTTTGCCCTGAAGCAATTTAAGTTTTGGAATAAAGAATACAGCAAGAAACAGGTCTGGAACAACAAAAAAAACATCAATGAATGTTCTCTTTTTTTTGTGTTTTTTCCCCCCATTTCTTTTTCTCTTTTCAGGTGGGAAATCTGGGCCTTCTCTTCATGTTGTTGTTTTTCATATTTGCAGCTCTTGGAGTGGAGCTGTTTGGAGACCTTGGTGAGTCTTCCTGTGCCAGTGGGAGGGATGGGAATGGTGTTGGAGTGGGGGGTCTCACAGCTGTGCTTGGTCTTGCAGAGTGTGATGACACACACCCCTGCGAGGGGCTGGGACGGCATGCCACATTCAGGAACTTTGGGATGGCCTTCCTGACCCTATTCCGAGTATCCACAGGAGACAACTGGAATGGGATAATGAAGGTAAGTGTTAAGTTTTTGTCAGCGAGTGTATTGCTGTTCTAGATGTGGAATTTGCCAAATCTTCTCAGTTTTCTTCATGAAAGGACAACCCATTGCAGAACCCACTGTGGTTCATGCTGCAATCTCTTCACATCCCTCCATCTTAGTGTCATTGTTTAGTTGATAAGTTGGTGTTAGGTGACAGGTTGGACTCGAGGATCTCCAAGGTCTTATCGAGCCTGGCTGATTCTGTGATCATTCCCCCCCTGTTTCCAGGACACACTGCGTGACTGTGACCAGGAGTCCACCTGTTACAACACCGTCATTTCCCCCATCTACTTCGTCTCCTTTGTGCTGACAGCCCAGTTTGTCCTGGTGAATGTGGTGATTGCGGTGCTCATGAAGCACTTGGAGGAGAGCAACAAGGAGGCAAAGGAGGAGGCAGAGCTTGAAGCAGAACTGGAGATGGAGATGAAGACCATCAGCACTGGCCAGCACAGCCCCTCAAACATCTTTGCGTGGACAGGCACCACCAGTGGAGACAGACCAGAGAACCCCGGCGGATTTACCAATCCCATGCAAATCAAGATGGATTCTCAGCTCTCACTAGCTTATCATACGGTGAGAATTTCTGTGAGGAGGGCTTGACCTGCATTTTTGTTGGGGAAGACTTGCATGAGTTGGTAATGGAAGAGGTGTGTACCAGATGTTGTGGGCTTGTATTCCCTGCTGTCTGCTGTTGACACTTTTGTGGTTTGGGAGCCAGTGCTGCAGGGAAGAGACAACAGGCAGCCTCCAGTCCACCTTGATGCATCTGTTTGGAGGAAAAGAGTTTTGCAATTTACTCTGGAGGTCAGCTCAAGCTACAGAGTTCAGAGCTAGCTCCAAATTTACTCTAATTCAGAGTTTTGACTGGTCCTTTGTGATAGCAAAATCATGAGCGTAATGTGTTTGCTTTTCTAATACAGACCATGAGCCCCAACATAAAAGAGGAATAAAACTTGCTAATCTTTGCTTCAGTATTAAATTTGTTTTATGTAACCTCAATTTAATATCCATCCCCACAGTCAGGCTTGTAAGAAAAGATTCTCTTAACAGTAGAATAATCCAGAGGAGACTCAAACCTGAGCTCACCAGAGCTGGTGGCAGAACTCCCACTAGCAGCAACATAGGTGTAATGTGGGAGCTGCTATGAGATGCACCGCGTCTCCCTAAAGCACAGTTTTTGGATGAAGACTCAGTTTGAGGAATGAGAGGTGAGATCAAGCCCCAGACAAGTTATCTGGGAGGTCACTGAGCTGAAATTACTCAGGAAATACAGTCCAGCCTTTTTTTAGTCTTAGCTGATTGCAGATTGGGTTAAACTCTCTGCAGACCTCATTAACTTCTATTACATCATGATTTCACAACAGCATATCTTGGCCGCAGCCTGGGGTAGACTAATGCATATTCTAATGCATGAAAAACTAATTTATGATTTTTAGTCCAAGGGTGAAAGAGAGTAAATCCCCGCTTAATCTTTGTTTCAGTTCCTAAGCTACTGGAAATTTCTGGTGCCATTAGAATCTCTGATGTCTAAGATAGAGTCCAAAGCTGCTCTTTGGCTCAGGAAAAAGGACTTCAGGGCCCTATGGGGAAATCCAGATTTACTACGTCCTCTAGGAAGAAACAACGCATCCCAACTGGTGCTGTATGTGTTGAACAGAGTTCTGGCAAACTGTCCTCAGCCTTGTTGTCCTGCATCAGCACTGAAACTGGCAAAAAAGACAAATTGCAAAATTATGAGACAAAGCAGTCAGAATGATACCCTCACTCTGCAGTTTGTTAAACCTGCCCTCTCTGAAGGCGGCCTGGGAAGGGGTTTATTCCAGTAATAGCCTTCAGAGTGTGTTTCTTGCTCTTTCCCTCAAACAGAAGCCTCAAAAACCGCCAGGAGATCTTATTCTGACTATTTATTTACCCAACCAAAACCTTCAGGACAGATCTGATGCTTGAGCTTGATAGCAGAGGAATACAACTCCCAGGACACTGCCCTGCAATGACAGCATGCTCTTTTGCTTGCCTCATTCCTGGGATTTTTGCGCTGTGTGCTGTTTGACTGTAGCGCTGGTCCTCATCTCATTGTATGCGTTGGGCATTCCCCACATGGAAGGTGCACCCTGAAATCACTGCCCTGCTGCCTGCAAAAGCCAGTCCCTGCTCTGTACAACCCCAGTGCTGTGGCCAGCTGGTTTAACATTGGCCAGAGCTCTGGGGGCACCTCAGCCCACGTCTGGCACATGAATTAGTGACCTGTGTCCATCCTGCTCAGTTGCAGCTTCCATGGACAGGACACTCAGCTTCTCTTCAGTCAGGTTATTTTCATTTCTGTGCCTTCTGGATATGGCATCAAGTATTAGGTTCTGCAGTTCAAAAGCATGGACCATGTGTGTAGAAGTCTTGCAGCAAGTAGTGTCCTGTTGAAGTTGACAGCACCAATGGAAAAATGCTGCTCAGCCCCTAGAAATGACTGGCCATGTTTGATGAGAGGGAGATTGTCCCCAAGAAGGGCCCTGGGTGGGAGCAGCCATGGTCTTGGGGCAGTTGCCCCATCTCTTGCAATGTCTGGGAAAGCTGTCTCTGCTCACCGTGATATTACTGCACTGTTCTCTCTCCTTTTCTCCTGTCCCATTGTTCCTGTTACTGCTGTTCTCCTTGAATGTTTCCACCTTTTTTCCCCCCTTCTATTTTTTTCTCTCATTTTGTTCATTGGGTTTGATATGCTGTCCTTTTTTTCTTTCTGTCTCCATCCCTCGCCTTTTTCCTCCTCTCTTTTTGGCTTGCTCTCTCTCTCTCTGCATGCTATACACCACCCTTCCTAGGAAAGGCACTTGTTTGATACCATATCACTGCTGATCCAGGAATCTCTGGAAGGAGAGCTGAAGCTGATGGACAACCTGTCAGGCTCTGTGTGCCATCATTATGCCCTCCCAGCTCCCGAATATTACAACTCTGAGAACCAGGTTAATATTCCTAATTTCCTGCAAAGTCTCCATTCAAACTCAATTTGACTGAGACCTTTAACAGCAAGTTAAAGTTCTTTATGTAATGCAGTCACAGGGATTGGGAAGCATAAGTCACTTTGGCTTTTTCTGTGGGAGTAGATGATGTTGTCTATCAATGCAAGAGGAAGAGAACATGCTTGGACTTTCCCTTTCCCCTTTCAACACAGTAAGAATTTTTTCATTGGGATTTACAATTCATGGGTGTTAGAGGGGAAATGTGCAAAATTCCATCTCCATCCTTCAGTGTGGTTCTTATATTTGGCTTCCTGCTCCTAAGCAGGGCTCCACAGCAATGCCAGGGAATGTCTGCAGAGCCTGCAGTGTGAGGTTTTCTCAGAGCAGAGCCTGAGTTGTGGGGTTCATCAGATGATCTCTGTGTTCTGTGCCTACTTGTACTTCATGAAAATCCAGTTTTGAAAGGTTTTCCTAAGGAGCCCTCTTGAAATGGGTCACTGTAAACTAGATCCTCATCTCTGATGTAGTGGATTTGGGAGGGGAGGCAGCCCTTAATGATGCACACAGTAACTGTATGCTCCAGTGCTTTATCAAGCAGACAGTGCTTGTTTAAAATTAGTCCACTTATTTCCTAGAATAAAATACCTACTTTTTAAAGTGCATTGTTCTTTAGAGCAAATATTTTCCCTAAAAGACAGCAGTGACCATGATAGCAATTCAAGCACACCTATTTTTTGCTGCAGTTGGAATTGAGCAAATTCCATATTTCTTGATCTATTCCCCCCTATCCCCCCCCACCAACGTCATCTAAAAATAGCACAAGTCTTCATGTTAAATCAGTGTGCTTGTTTATGAGCTCACTGACACTCTAAATTACCCAACTTTTGATGGTTCATTAGAGGAAAGGAACAAGCTTAGGTAAAATGAAATCCTACTGCAGATCTTTATATAGCAGGATAACATGTCTCCCTCTGATTGCTCCATATTGCATCCCAGGGTCCATTAAGCTATAGGAAGTGGTTGTCTCTAATAATTGCCAGAGGAATAGAGATCGTAGCTTTGGCAGGGAAGACAGAGGGTCAGTAGGAAACTCAATGAGAGCTGGTTGAAAATGTTTTGTCACAACATTTTTCATCAGAAAGTGCTGCTGCAGCAAAAAAAAAATTGGGTTTGTTCTGACATTTCTGTAATGAAAAAATACAGCATTCCCGTTTGCAATGGCTTTTTCTTTTAAAATTTGAGCATCCCCCACCCCCTGTCTATAATTAAAACTGGTCTAAATCAGTTAGGTGTTTCCAACAAAATGTTTTGACAGCTTCAAACTCAATTTTGGATTTAGGAAGGCTGAAGTGGGGTGATGTTTTGTTTACATTTTGGCTTTTCTGTTCACACCATTTGTCATGTTCTCAGGCAACTCAGGAATTTAGAGCAGCGCTGGGACTTGCTGAAAGCAACCTGATTAATAGCAGCTCCCAGCAGGGCAGTTCCAGCAGGCAGGAGCTGCTGGAGTCCACCATGCTGCTGGACAGCTTTTTCCTGGCTCTGGTTGGTGGGTCCCTCTTAGGGATTCCTGTCCTAAGGCTGGCAGCCTTCACAGTGATGCCTTTTAGGGGAGCCTCATATTAAATCAGGGTCTCCAAATCATCTCTCTTATCCCTTGCCAGCAGATAAGTGTGCTAGAAGAGATATCAGAGCTGAGGTTAGATGAGAGGAGTCTGTCCCTCTTACTTATCTCAGCTGAATTTTGAGCCTCTCCAGGCTCGCTCATCGCTGGGCTTGTTCCGTCCTGCGGCTGCCATTTCTAAGAGTGAGAAAACACAGTCCTTTGACAACTTCAATGCAAGAGATCTGGGGCTCTCCGTTTTCTCTTGGAAGATTTATTGCTGCTGAAAGACTTTTCAAGCACAGAAGATGGCAAAAAAAATGCACAGTGAGAAATGAAAAGGAAGCACCTGGGACTTACCTGGAGCAGGCAGCCCCTGCGAGCATGAGCTGGGTTTGGAGGTTACCTGGTGAATGCCATTCCTGGTGTCATAAGCACTGTGTCCAGGGAGGGGGTCTGGGGAGAACTGAGCCTGCTGCAGGGCAGACACCCCCTCTGTTACAGGGCTTGCAAGGGTTGCAGGGTGAAGAGAGAGGCGAGAATGTTGGGCTCATGTTCAGAAGGCTTGATTTATTATTTTATTATATATATTACATTATAACTATACTAAAAAGAATAGAGAGGAAAGTTCTCAGAAGGCTAGCTAAGCTAAGAATAGAAAAGGAGTGAATAACAAAGGTCTGTGTCCTGGCAGAAAGCAAGAACAGCTCTGCCCTGAGTGGTCAGTAAATCCAAACATCCACAGGAAACCAATCACAGATTCACCTGTTGCATTCCACAGCAGCAGATAACCATTGTTTACATTTTGTTGCTGAGGCCACAGCTTCTCAGAAGGGAGAAAAATCCTAAAGAAAGGATTTTTCACAAAAGATGTCTGTGACATCCCTCTTACAGTGCCTGGCAGCAGAACTGCTGCTCTGGGGGAGATGCCGCTTGGCCTCTTTCCCCCTCTTTTTCCTCCAAAATCTGAAGTGAGATTTTCACATTTCTTATAAAAAGACTTCTGTGTCTAGGGAGAGAGCTTCATCAATGATTTGAGGCCATTCATAGATTGTTTGAATGTCTTCAGTGGGGATCCATGTGCACAAGATCCATGAAAGCGGGAATGTGGCTGTGTAGAGACGATTCCCAAGTCTGCAGAGCCTGCAGTGTGAGGTTTTCTCAGAGCAGAGCCTGAGTTGTGGGGTTCATCAGATGATCTCTGTGTTCTGTGTCTACTTGTACTTCATGAAAATCCAGTTTTGAAAGGTTTTCCTAAGGAGCCCTCTTGAAATGGGTCACTGTAAACTAGATCCTCATCTCTGATGTAGTGGATTTGGGAGGGGAGGCAGCCCTTAATGATGCCCAGAGTAACTGTATGCTCCAGTGCCAGAGGAGACAGCTTGGACCAGGTCTGAGGGGCATTTGGGGGCTGAAAAAAGCATTTGGCTGTTTTAGTAGGTCAGTTATTGGTGCCACTGGTGTCACTGGCTTATAGCCAGCCAAAATGAGCTGAAAGCACCAGAAAGGTGTTTGCTGACCAAAATACAGTTTTAAGTTTCTCCCTGTGCCCTTTTATCTGTGAGGAAATGAATTATGGTCCCACCTGCCTCTTGGAGGGAAGGGGGACTGGCAGGGGAAAGTGGTCCCTGCAGCCTCCCTGGGGCACAGGGAAAGGCACACTCCATACCCCACCCAAACATGTGGTTTCGTTGTTGGGGAGTCTTTGGAGACTCAACAAGTTTATCTTAGAAACCAGGATGGTTATTGGGGGGAACAACTTCAGAGAAATCAGATCTTGGGGGAACAACTTCAGAGAAATCAGATCTTGAGACCTCTTGTATTTGATCACAGCCAAGAGGATTAATCTCTCTATTATGAGAGAGTGTTACTTTTGCTTATTCATGTAGACAGAAGAACCACAAAATACAATGCTAGCATTAGTGTATGGTTTTAAACCCTCTCCTGGATCCTTGGTAAGCACTAAAGTATGAATGTCCCGCTCCTTTTTTAATTTCTTCATTATATTTAATTTCTTTAATGTTCTGTCCCTGGTAACAATGTGTATGATGTAGCTCTCCCACTGCAGGGATATTGCTTTGGTGTCTAGAAGTATTTAGATTATGATACTTTTTTTTTTTCTTTGTTTAATTTTCTTTTCCAAAAGATTTGTGTCCTTATGTTTCTTATGTTTAATCATTTCTCCCTTTAGATCCCTCTAGCTGAGATGGAGGCTCTGTCTCTGACGTCAGATATTCTCTCTGAAAAGTCCTGGTCCTTAGCTCTGACGGATGACTCTTTTCCTGATGACATTAACACACACTTACTTAATGCTCTGGAAAGCAATGTACATACACTGGTCACTGTGTAGTCTGATGTTTACAGGGTTCGAAATACTGCTCCCATCTCTCTGCACCTGCCTAATGGCATTTCCAGTTCCAGCCCCTTCCCAAATAGCACCAACCTCTTCCCTGAACAGGATGCTGTCCTTAATGCCATTAGGTCCTGGGTTTGTCACTCTTGTCCACAATCTTGGCTCCTTGTGAGGAATGAGTGGTTATTTAAATTTTTCTTTTGCTGTCTTATGTATAAACAATGTGTTTTCTACAAGTAAAATAAGTAGTAAAAATAAAGAGGCTTTGGAAAGCAGCAAGGTTGAAATTTCCTCCCCATCTGAAACAAATCAGTGATGAGCTAATGACCCATGTCCTCTGCTGAAGGGTCAGCCCCAGCACTTGGATTTGGAGTGGATTTTTGTCATTATGAGCACAGGCACCACAAGGCTTTTTGCATGATTGGTGCCAGACCGCTTCTTTTACAAATATCAAATGGGGATCTCTCCAAGATGATACTTGTTTTGCAAATTATTTCTACCAGCCACTATGCTGAAAAAAAAATTTAAAATTTGACTATTCAGTGTTTTTTTGACTGACATAACCAGTATTTTGAACCCTGCCTTCACCATCTCCTCTTTGAAACATTAGACATTTTTATCTGTGTAACAGTCAAGTGTTTTTTTTCTGCTGTACAACAGACATAACTCCTTTCTCAAAATTTTAGATCATTCTTGTTTTCTTTGTTGTTGTTCATGTACCTTTGGATGTTTGTGTTGTTCATAAATTTTCTGCCATATTAGTTGACTGTCATCCTAATTAGCACTTATTTGAGAAAAATTTCTTAAACCGTGACAATATTTCCCATCATGCTTCATGGCATCCTGTGCAAAAGATTTTGTGGACTCCGTTTTATTTCTTTTATGAGGCTTTTTGTTTCAAAATTAGTGGGGAGAGTTGGACAGAGGAGAAACCCTCCTAGTTTTGAATCAGGTTAGACAACCTTGTTTGACAGCACTGCAAAGTCTCAAAGGTACAGTCAGGAAAGATGTTTTTTCTCCCCTCTCGAAAAAAAAAAGCAAAACTGTGTTGAACAAAGGGTTTTGTGAATTTTTATCCATACCAAAAAGTTTTTGGTCACAACAGTCACCCAACCCCCTGAAAAACTGCAAGCTTTCATTGAAATATCTTTTAAATGCAATATTTTTACACTTCATTTAGATGTGGCTTTAGTTGAAAAATATTTGGATTGGGGTTTTTTTTGTTTGTTTGGTTGATTGGCTTGGTTTTTTTGGTTTTGTATTGTTTTTGGGTTTGTTTTTTGGTCTGGTTTTTTGGTTTTTTTGGGTTTTTTTGTTTCAAGGAAAATTTGGATTTTATTTTCAATCAAGCCAAAACATGTTTTTCAAAAGTACCACTGAACCAAAAAGTCATGTGCTCCCACTGCTCTGTAGCCTGACCTGGGAAGATCATTTTGCAGCCGTTTTCAATGGTTTTCATGAATTTCACTCATGAAATTTGCCCCAAGATCATCCAAAAGAGGAAATAACCCATATTGGATCCAGATGAACCTAACGGTTCACTGAAGGTTGTATTTGGATGGGATCTCAGATCCAAGTTCTCATGTTCAGATTCAGATGAGTCTGAGTTTGAGATCTCAGGTTTCAGGTCACCTTTTCTGCTGTAAGCTCAGTAGTGTGACAGCAGAGCAGCATGAAGTGGGTACAAAGGGAAGGCAGGGAGGGACAGAGGGGTTCCCAATCCAAACTCAGCTTTACCAGCACAGGTTTTGCTCTCCTTCCCCAAGCTGTATCAGGACATTGCAGTCTCCCTTATCTAGGCTGTGTCCAAGCTCTATCCAAATGAGCAGTTTCCCAAGGACTGAAACAAATGCTGTGTGGCAGTGCAGACCTGTTTCGTTCATTAAATTTGAAACAGCGATCTCCTTTATTCTTTTTGCAAATTCCTTTTAATCTCATCCTGTTTCTTATGCAAATAAATGCCATAATGAAATTTTGTTTTTATGACTGAAGGATAGAGTTGGGATCAAAAAAATCTGTGTTGATTCCAGAAAACCTGTAATGCACTGAGTGAAGGGAAAATTTTTCAGAAAATAAGATCTAAAGTTTTCCAAAAATGATCAGCCAAATACTGTACTAGACTACAATGGCACAAACTTATTCCTGTGTTTTTCACTTGAGACATTTTAACAATTAAATAATTGTTTCATTAGAAATACACCGGGAAGATGACTTTGCTTCCATTTTTGCTAATATTCTCCATGACAATAACACCCAAGAACATTTGTGGGATGGAGATATTTTCTTATTAAACCAGAGGTGAATCTACTCAATATTGCCTCTGGGGCTGCCCATTCCAAGAGTTTCTTTGGCTGTAAAAAGTCCACAATCAACATATATACAATAACCCTTGCTTGCATTATATCCCTTCTAATTAGAGAATGGCTTTCACCCTGAAGCGGTAGGTTTAGATATCCTTTTCAATAAAATAGGTTTAGCTATTCATTATGTGAGAAGAAAATCCAATAAAATTGTGCTGTGAGCCAGAACAGCAAATATTTTTATAAACTAGTTTTTGCATTTGGATTGGGGTTCTTTTGTTTGTTTTTCTTTCTTTTATTGTTAAAAGAGGAAACTGCTCACCTTTGCAAAAGCCTGTCTTGCTGAGCAGGGCACCTAGAGAGAGTCAGAGTTCTGCCAAGCATGTGACCTTTGCTGACCTTGAGGCATGATGCCTTCTTTGCATATCTCTGAAATAGTCATGGTTTATTCCTGCGTTGTGGCTTCCTGTTTCTGTGGCCCATTGTGTGAGAGTTTACTGACAACCCCGACAAAGGGGGATGGCTCCCTCATAGCTCCATTTGTGCCCCCTGTGCATGCCCATCGTGCCATCCTGGTTGCAATGGCTGTCACTCGCGTTTCTGGGTACTTCCCCTCTTTCCCCCCCTTCCACCCCTGCCTTCCTCACGTTTTTGTTCCCCTCAGGCCGCTCTCCGCTGCAGGGACGACGCGCTGACGCTGTCCCCCAGCAAGGACCTGCTGAGCGTGAGGAAGCCCTCGGTGGGACGCACGCACTCCCTGCCCAACGACAGCTACATGTTCCAGCCGCCCTACTCCAGCCCCGGCCCGGCCTCGCTGGGCAACAGGAAACCAGCACACCACAAGTCCCAGTCAGGTACACCTCTGTCACCCGCGGCAAGAGCAGGATTCTCCAATGGGGCAAGAGCTGTGGTTTCCCATGCTCTTCAGCAGGGAGGAGAAAATTGCCGCTGGTTTCCAGTCCTGTGTTTAGACCTGTGGAATGGCTGTCAAAAGGCTCTCCACAACTTGCAAAGACCCTCCACAATTTACAATGCCCTGTTTAAGATAACTCCTTTCCTCAGAATTTTTTGACAATGTGACATTGGCCTGGCTCAACACTGATTGTCTCCTGCCTGGTTCCCTAAGGTTACAGTCCCTACATCCTGGGCTCCATCTGTCCCACCAGGCCCCAGAGGAGAAATCCCAGTAGAGAAATATTTCCTCCTGTCTGCTTTTTGCAGCAGTACCTGTTCAGAACCTCTGTCTGGGAACATCTGTGAAAGATGGGAAGAAGGTGTCTCTAAATGCCTGTAAAATGGACATAAATGTGCTGAATTGAGAGACGTTGGCATGAGATGAATGGGAAAATGAGAGAGTGTGGAATTATTCTTCCCAGTGTGCATGGTTGGGATATACATCTTGGAGCTAAATTCAGAGATATTCTTAGGTACAGGGAGGGCTCTCCCTGCCTGCACCTCTGTCCCTGTGCTTGTCTCTGTGCCCCCAGTTCTTCTGCCTGCCAGGGGTTACCTGGGGCTGGGAAGTGAATGGAGCCACCTTTAATTTGTCTGTACATGCCATCATTTTAGAAATTTGTCACCAATAAGACAGTGAAGTTTTTACAAGCATTGCCATTTGAAAGCCTCTAAGCAAAACATAATTTCAGCAATGTTCAGAATGGTAGGAGATTTGAAGATTTGAACAGATTAGAAATAAGATGTTGAAATTTGCATAGTAATAAGAATTTGGATGAATAGCTACTGTTGAACAGAAGCAAAAAATAATGTGAGCACAAGGAAGGAAGATGAATCTGGTGTTCTGAGAAATCTCTGCCACAATACACAATTTTCAAGGTCAAGAGTGGTGTTTTGAAGAACCTGTTTGCACATAATGCTAATGGTGCAGCTAAAATCCCATTGAAAGCAATAGCAAATCTCCCATTACCTTCAGCTGAGCTAGACTTTATGGGTCTCCGTAACAGTCAAGAAATTGCTGGCCATATGAAAGAATCATGTTTGCTGCAGAGGGAATTTCCAGTGCTTCATTGTTGACCTTTACTTGTATTTGTACTGTCTTGAACAAAAATTACATCAGCAATGGACTGGGTAATTTATGAGTCCCTTCTTTTTCAAAATTTCACTTCCCAGTTTCAGTTTGGAGAACCTGAATAGCCATATCTGACAGCCCTGGCTTTTTGGGGACAGGCATTGCACCCTTGTAAATCCACAGGAACAACTGTTCCACTGAGGTGTATCAGAAATACTTTGGAAAGGTAAAGCTGATGTCTTATAACCACAATAGGCAATTAAACTTTTGTGTTTTCCTCCTGCTGGTGAAATTCCAATCATCTTCAGCAGGCCATAGTGCTGGGAGGTGTGTAAGGTCCCCACATTCTGACATATCATTGTCCTCTTCCATCTACAATGTCACTGCTTTTGAGGGTGGGGGAAGTCACCACCACCTGTTTACAGTTTGTAATATTACAGAGTGCAGTGAAGACAGCAAAAGGTGCCAGGCATATCTAATAAATCACCACAACCAAGCCACAATATTTCAAGCTGAGAAGCTTTTGTTGTCAGAAACACTGGCACTCGCAGGAGGCATTTGTTTGAATACTCCTTGGTAATGGGGCTGTTGCTCTGGGAAAGATTCCAGGACAAATGAGATTCTCTGGGATGCAGTCCAGATTAAATGAATTGTTTTGAAAAACATTGAGCCTGTGTGTGTGAGGGGAGCACACAGAGTTTCAAACCTTTTAGAAGTAGTAGCCAGCAACCATGAAGGGTCAGGAAGAGGTTGGAGAGTATGTGTTTCCTTCTTCTGGGAGGATTTGTAAAACCAGCCTTGAGAGCTGCCAGGTGCTGTTCCCTTTCACTTCATTTCCAGTGTGTGCATGCTGGTTTGGAGATCCCAGCAGTTCAGGCATGGGGACACCTTCAGCCTTTCAAAGTCAGATGTTTGCAGTGCTCTGAAGTGAGGCTGCCTGAGCAGTTATTGGCCCAAAAGCAGAGATGCAGGAATTGCCAGTTCAGATGAACTTGCAGTTCCTTGTCTTCTGCTCTCAACAGGAGCTAGTCCCAGTTGTATCAGGGGAAAATGCCAAGAAAAATGAAATAATAGACAATGCTGGAGTAATTTATTAGTAGATGGGAGGTTTTTTCCCAGTTCTGGAGAGCCAATTGCTGAATTCAGTGGTTTCACTGTGCCTGTCTGATCCAAAGTGCAGTAGATCAGTTTCCCCTGGGAGGTCACTGAGGTTGGGACACAGCCCCTGGATGAACATGTCCCATTTCTGCCTCTTCTCCCCCTTGCAAGGTTCGAAGGCATCGGTGCAGTCGCAGCCGGCAGACACCAGCTCCCTCCTGCAAATCCCAAAGGAACATTTCCACCACGTGAGAGCTCACGAGCACTTGGTGGGGGACAGCAAGCCCCGGGTCTCGCAGCAGGCACACTCCCCTTCTGCTGAAAGGCTGCTCCGCAGACAGGTAAGCAGAGTTATGGTCATAAACCTGCTGGGCTTTTATATTGATGCATTTCCTGCTTAACCATGCTTTAAATTCAAGGAGGGATTCACAGAGAAACCTCCAGAGAACTGTAATTCTCCTGCAGAAATAACAAAATGGTTGGTGGTTTTTGATCTGAAAGCCATCCAGGAGTCTCCAAAGAACGTGCATTATGAGTATCATGTCCTTTGGCAACATGCCTAAATGTTCTCCACATTGTTAGTGCTTTATTTTTTAATCCCCTTCATAAATGCAGCCAAATGCTCCTTAGGGGCTTGTTGGGGTTGAGGAACTCATTCTCAACTGCTGTGATTTTTCTGGTGCTTGAAAGGACACAAGGATTGCAGGCTCCATCCCAGGCCAGCCCTCCTCTGACTCCTCTTGTTTTCCAAAAGAGGTGTTTCATGGAAATCGGTTATCTCATATGCATCCATCATGAGATGCATGCTAGTTTTACAGTGAGAATTGAAAATTAAAATATTTTTTCATCAACTGTGAGCTTTTAAAAAGTTTGACTTTATGCACAGCAGAACATGTTTTATTTTGTAGCCAGTTTTATCTCTGGTTTTTGCCTGGCATTGATTTAAATCCTGATTCAGTCAAAGATCTAAGGGATCTAATCAAAGATTCCAGTCTGGTTGATTGGAAGCATAAGTTTAGACTTATCTTTTTTTAGTAAAATACTTAAACTTGTGCTTCACTCTCACATTTTTAAGCATATTTCAATGATTGTGCAGCTGGACCAGGACCAGAAGCACATCTGATTCAAAAACTCTGCTGTATTCAGTATTTCCATGCCTGATTTTACATACACAAAGGGGATCAGTTCTATTTTTTCAAAAGCAATTTCTTTCCTGTATAAAAATATTCCCATTTCTTTCATCTTTTAATCAACATTGACAAATTAGACAGTTGATTCATTAAGCTCTAAAAATGGATGTGAAGTACCAAGGTTAACAATTACATTAGTCTGTAGTACTAAATTGACATGAGAAATTCCTTGCATGTATTCATTTGCATGGGGTTGGCCAGCTATCCCAATCACCACTAATGGGGAAACTAATTGATGTCATGATTCCAGTTCATAACCACTCTCTCTTGCTTTCTAATGAATAACAGACCCATCCTTTTGAAGCGATCTAGCCAGAATGAATTACTGTGTTAGCCATCTTCTCCAGTCTAATTTTGTTCACCTCTTTGATGGCTTCCTTTTGTAGACCTTTTCATAAGTTTAAGTCAATTTACTGTCCTCCTTTTCTCCCTCTCCCTGCTCCTTCAGTGGCATGAACATGCTCGTGGAGTGACATGTCAGAGAGCAAAGAGTTTTGTGGCAGTGAGCAGATACAGTCCATTGGCAAACCCATGAGGGGCGGCCTTGGGCAGGCTCCTGAGCAGCAAGGAGCTCCCAGTCTGGCTAATGAGAGCAGTGAGGTTTTTCTGGTGATATTGCTGTTACTGTTAATTGCAATCTAGATGGCCAGACACTGGGAAACTTGGTCCTTTAAACGGCAAAATTCCCTTTACAGCCGCAGCACTTCTGCTTGCTCAAGTGCTCTCTACTTGACTCCTTTTTATTGCTACCACTAGTATCTCACTAGCACATCAAATAGCCCAAACTGGCAAAGCAGTTTGGTTTTCAGTACCCAATTATCCTTATCTTTACATATACTGCATGCAATTCTGATTTGGCTTTTTTTTTCCTTTTCCTTTTCCTTTTCCTTTTCCTTTTCCTTTTCCTTTTCCTTTTCCTTTTCCTTTTCCTTTTCCTTTTCCTTTTCCTTTTCCTT